CAAATGACGATAAATATCATTTTCAAGCGTCTCAGTCATTTTCTTGGTTAGCTTTTTTATCGAGTCAGTTCTCTACGGGATGAAGTCTCTCACCCCATGCCCAACCGTCTTTCTTTATCCGGGTTTGAGACCGGCCTGGAGCCCCAGAGGGGCTCAGGACAGAGTGGGTTGGGGAATGCTGGTCGGTGACTCATGCTACATTGGGAATAACAGGCGTAGGTAAGCAATTAAGTGTTCCAGTCATTAGGTTTAGATGACACTAAACATATTTACATAAAATATGGTTATTCATTATGAATGTAACCTAATCCGCACGTAAATAAAAGTATTTTGTTATTTTATTGTTTTCAATTACATTTCACGTAATTTACTTTTCTTTTAGACAAAACATACTAAGTAATTAATTTTACACATATGGCCAACTATGTACTACATTTTTCCTTTAATTTGTTTAACTTTTATGCATAAAATACTAATAAAACATTAATTTGTCTTAATCATAGCTGTAACTGGTAGGAAGTAGTAATCTGACTGATTTTTATGTACTTTTTTTCGTAATAGTGTATAACTCTACTAAATATAGTATTAAGTAGTTCATTATTAATTGTAATTTGATTGACAGTATTATTAGTTCTATCAGTAAATACTTGCTTTCTTATGAACTTCATTAATGTTATGGGTGTGACAGTGATTATTTGCAAGTACTGAAAGAATAAACTATTTAATGTTGTAAGAAAAAGGGGTGTTCTGATTATGTTTATTACCCTGAAGTAGTGCAAGAAAGTTAACTGAATGAAATGTTGGAATTATTTAAATTTCAATTGCTGAGATTATTTCAAATATAATTTTCACAAATAAACAAGGCAATAATTAGTAGTTTATATCACAAACTGACCTGTTTTTGATAATCATTGAATACTAGGGAGTATTAGACATAATTTTTATTTAATTTTTGGACTCCTAATAAGTTGATGTCTACGAACTTATTGGAGATCGAATTCAAGAACTCTAAGCTTCTCTAGGAGTGTTTAACAGTTAAACTGATTAATTAACATCCAATAATTTACATGTTTAACTTCAATCAACTCATGACATTGCGTAATCAACATTCAATGCCAGTATTAGGTAGAGATAAGAAATCCAATATGGTTGAACTTCAGTGGTTATGTCTTCTCACTGGAAATTCTGGAATCATTTTTCAAAATAAGTCAATATTGGAGAAAAAGTTATTATTGGTATAATCGGTTTTTGGAGATTGTTGAGTCTTTTAATTTATATCACAGACTACTGTTAGTTACACAACTAATGAAAACCAAGAAGTATTGGACAGCTTTTTCATCCAAATGTAGTGCAAGTATTGTCAAGTGGAGCAAGAATGCTATGTTCAGATGATGAAACCAAAAAGTATTGATACATATCAGGAAAAAACTTATAAAAAACGGGTACCTAGACAGATATGGAAATATTCTTCAGAAGTCATAAATATGCGACCATCAACAAAAAACCTACTTTTATCTGTCTTTCATCTGTGGAGAAACAAAACTTAAGGATGAGTGTGACAAGAACACCAAGGGGGTTTCATTTTATGATAACAAATATTCTTTGAACGAATCATAGATAGATTAATACACTTTTGAAATATAATATGTGAGAATAACATAGAGGAGGAGGGAGGGAGATTGTGGAGATATGCCTGACAAGTTTATTTTGTAAATAGCTGTTAATGTTATTTGTATTTATTCTGTCAATTTCCCACTGCATGTACATTTATCATTAAATGATTGTACCTGTTGTTTAAGTGTATGACCTTGAACACTTTTTCCGTTGCGATTCTAACATAGCGTGACATTATTGTGGTTGTTTCCCAAATACACTACTTCACACATACCTCTCGTTCTACATTCACTCGCATTTGTGTTAACCGAAGTCTGAATCAAATACCATTTACCTTCACAGACTGTAATTGGAATATACCATATATATATCGCCGGATCATACCATTGGGGAATCCACCAAACTTACTGGAATTATTAATCATCTATAATTGTGGATATTTAATACCAGATCAATTTGGAACACGCACTCTCCTGGTGAACTAAGTAACGTTCCTTATTTCTATTGTGTTTAGAACATTTGACATATATATATATATATATATATATATATATATATATATATATATATATATATATATATATATATATATATATATATATATATATATATATATATTGAAACAATGTTTTTACAATATAATTTCACGTTTATTCGTTCACTAATCTTTCATTTGTCAAGTTAATTATGCCGTTTAACTACATGATTGCTAGTTCTACTGACATTTTGTTTACTTTAGGAACTTCAGTTTAGTTTATACCGTTGACTGGTGAACTGAAATTGCATATATTTTAATTTATCGACAGAAATCTAATGATTGAAATGTATACATGCAATTATGATTTATCAAGTGTGTTGATGGATAGGTAATTTCTTGTCATTCTCTTTTTTATTTAAAATGGTTTTGGTGAGAAAATGATCTGTCTGTACGTAAATGATAATATGAATACAGTTGGATAATAACGTAACTGGTGATAGTTAAGTTTCACTGATCAGTGGATAGATTACTTGGTAAGTTAAACTATACAACTGAGCTACCTCGAGATTTTGACCCATTTTAGCCAACCATGAAATTCTGGTGGTTAGTTTATAGTAAGAAATTGAAAATTTTTTAAAGAGAATACTCATTTCATATCATCAATGAACTATTCGCTTTCGATTCCTAATAGTTAGAGTTTAAGGGTTAGGATCTTGGTTAAATATTAAGTTTTACGGTCATTTTAAATATATACTAAACCTACATCCAAACTCTAAACTTTGCTGTAGTCAAAAAGAAGTCAAGTGGGAAGAACAATTTATTATTTAGTACAATATTACGAAGTTGTTTAGTAAAATGTAAAGATCATTTATTAAATACCTCATTTGCAAATCTTCCATACATTGTCCTTTACATCCTTCATGATTCTTTCGAATTTTGATTCCTTTATATTTCTCTCTCTGTTCCCTTCAGTTCAATCTTCTCAAATTTCTTTGGACAGGCGTTCCACTTCTTATCGGTGTGACATACTACTTATATTCGTCGACATAATTAGCATACACCACACGACTTCTGACCCTAGTCCTAACTCCAAACCCTACCTGTGATCCGAATGGTAGCTCCGAATATAAACTTTACTTTTGATACTAATACCAAACTTAACTGCAAACACAACTTGTAGCTCTATAATCCTAGGCTTAACAAATATTGCAGTGAAATTCACTCTATCTCCAACTTTTTTTCAAACTTATTCACAATTATTTTATTCCTACATTTACATGTGTCTGTTTTTGTCAACAGCCTTAGATCATGTGGGTACTTAATGATGTTTCCATCACTAAAATTTGTCATTGCGGATTCCGTTAATAACGTCCTAAATTAACAAGGTCTGACAAACGTCAAATCAAATTGAAATATGAGATAAAACCTTGAAGTTGATTTCTTATTCCTGATTAACTAGTTAGTTTATTTTAGCTTTACCAATTACCTCAGAAGTAAACTTATAAATATGATGAAATGTGTTTGGTTTGGATAAGGATCTCTTACCAGTTTCTAAATGACACAATAAATCTGTTCCTGATTTTACCTATTGATCATGCTGTGGAAAACTCATACGTCTATCATTCATCTATTACTTAGATTACTTTAAGTTTATTGATCCTGAAAATTGGATATGCAACAAAACTCTGCTTTTTATTTTACTCGTAGTTATAGTAACAGTGGCATATTTTCCGAAACTTTTCAATTGTGACTTAGTATTGAACAATAGTTCAGTGTCGTTACGTGAATACAAAGAAATCTATCTATCTGATTTAAAAATTCTCATTTAAAATAGCCGACAAGTTAGTGAATAACGGGACTCAGCATTTAAGTTGATAACTCGATGACGTCTGAAACGGACGGTACTGGGTTCGACTCCCGGAGTGAGCATCAACTCGTTTACAGCTGACGAGTCCCAAACACGGTGGGCGGCTGTTCTAGGTTTCAGTGCTAGTCATCATCCACTTCTGCTTGTTATTACTGTCATTTTGCACATTTTATAGGTATTCATTATCACATCAGAATGTAAAAATCAACGGCACAGAATCGGATTCATTGGTTTATTTGAATTCGTTCTCGATCTTCATGTCAATATGAAGTATCACTAATTTGTCATTCCCCCCTATTTCTTGAGCTTAGAATGTATTTATCATGTTGAGATTTCTCGGTCTGTTACTTATGCCTAACCATCGACTACCTATATAGGCAGCTGGTGCAGAAGTAAGTTATTAGAAAGTGGGGATATGACATCGATTCATTAAATCATTGGCCGTTGACAGACCAACAAGACCTGTAATTTTGTATCACGTGCCTTATATTGTCTGCTCTGGCGTTCTGTTCACTAAAGCATCCACTGCCTTTTGAAGGTAAAATACAAGGTGAAACTAGGTTGGAAGGATGAACACCTAAACAGTGTTCAATATCTTTCTGGCTTATACTACCCTTCCTTCAGGAAGATAGCTAACATTTTTTGTCATTGTTTCTTGGAATTCTTACTCGTAGATATGTTCTCCTAATGATAGCTTCTAATAACTTTTATCGAACATGAACCGTAATGCCATCTGAATAAATCTATTTAACTTAACTGCAAATCATTTGTTAAGTAAAGTATCAACCTATTCTACTTGTAGCTGTTGAGCTAATAAAAACTGAAGAAATATTCCTTACTTTTCTTCTATTATGGCATCCGGAAAGGTATTTTTGTTACAGTGAATCGTTATTATTAAAAAGAAGGGTTAAACAGTAAGTGGATACGTTGAAAATATGCTTAAAATTGTATAATAACTGTCTAGATTACTTCAAAAGTGTATTATTTCTATTTAATCCAGTTCCAAAGAACAATACAATATAAATCGTTAAAAAAAACAACTTAAGACTCTTGAGAAATATATATTTCTATGAAAATTTAATCATAAAACAGTTTCATTTAGAACAACAATCTATATTTTACTCCTCTTGTTAGTTTTTCTTTACATATTTGGTAACCAATTACACATACCAACAAACGATGGTGGAAGTCTTCTTTTATGGGTCATCAAAGACGACTTTTCTGACTCATGTGCCTATATGAAATAAGAATATCGTTAAATTAGCCAAGTATATATATATATATATATATATATATATATATATATATATATATAACATTTAAATTCTGGAACACAGAGGAGTATTCAGATTCTAGAACAGTCTTACATATGATGAGAACTATTATTATTAAACTGTAAAATGTATCTTATGAGCTGTGTAGCTGACACTTTGTGTATGAATATATTTTAGGTGCTGAAATTTATTTTAATTGTTGGTACTCTTTCATACATGCGTATTACTTTTGAATCACCACTGCTGTTGTGTCAATATTAAATGATTACTGAATATGCAAGTCAAATATGAATAGTAGTTTAAACAATGTGACATATCTGCTTTATGATGAAGATGTTTCTCCAGTATGATAAATCTAAAGACAACAATGATATTTCTGTTAAATTTTTAGCTAGTTGATATTAATAAAGACTATAAAAACGTCTACAACCCTACTGTATTGAATTTTATTGATTATTGGGAAGTTGGACAAAACTTGGTTGCAAGTTTAAAGAAAACAGTGATAAGTAATCTGCTCACATCCTAATTTTTATCCATATTTTAAGTTTAACTGATAGTTGATAAGTGATCCACTGAAACATTTGTTACTAACTTCATAGCTGCTTCCTTTAACCACAGACTATTTCTATTCAGTTGTTAAGGTTCCTACTGTCCATTTGAAAATTAGATTTGGTTACACTATGATACCATATATAAATTGTGAGTTAGTGCCTTGATCTTATCTATAGTTGCAAAATTTATCGAACTTTATATTTTCGTTAGCGGTAGTGTCCAGTATAGTGGTTGTATTTTCTTTTAAAGAAGCGTCAAATGGAGGGACCTACCGAATAGTTTTTAATATTTACGAGGAGTAAATTCAGATTCCAACAATTATTTTTTTGAAGTTTATAATTAGGTTACTGATTATAAACAAGTAGTATAAAACCTCAAATTATTTTCAATCAAAACAACATTTTACCAGCAATGTAATGATGTTTTTGAAAGTAAGGCAAGTGAGAAATTAAGTGCTAGTAAAATAGTTCGATGAAGTTTGATCAACCAGGAATTTAGAAGCCACCTAATTGTCACTATATTAGATGAAAATCCCTTAACAATTATCGATGGAAGTGAGAATATTAGTTGCCCATAAAGTGTTGAGTGAGCAGTAGACCTATTAGTTAGATAACACTGTTTAGAAAAATTACCGATCTGAGGATCAGTAAATCACTGATCAATGTATATCACAACTTGATAATATAGCGTCTCCTCGATGCTTAAAAATACCAACACAACTTGCCATTAAGATATAAACCATTTTGTCGAAGCTATCATGTGCAAATGAGTTCCATTTTTGAAATAGACACTATTTTATCTGTTATGTCCGAGTAAAACAGATGCTTAGTTTGTATTGTGACCCGAGTGACCAGGCCATAATGTGTAATTATTGACTCATTCACCTACGTTGTCGGTTCGATTGATGATTCTCCAATTTCCACTTGACATAGCCAGTAAATAACAACCAAAACCTTAACTCTCGTTAAACGTCGAGTTTCTTTTAACCCGGCATCAACTCAGAAGAGATAGAAAGCCGATCAGTTCCTATTGTACTCAATTAATGGTGGTAATATATAAAAGAAAGATTGCATATAAGGATACAGTACAGGAAGAAAGATTTAGTAGGTAGAAAGAAAGATATGGAGCGATTTTAATCTCATAGTTTAAAGGAAGACAGAGTGTATACACCTACGCACTTGTGATCGATCCTGTGCTATTTCACCAAGAGTCTCCAACTATTGGTTACGATAGTCACACGGACTCCAACCAAGTGGTTTACATCTACCAACATGGCTCAAGCTAGAAGTTAATGACTTCAAGCACTGATGCCACGTTTTGATTTGGTCGCTCCTAACTTTCTTCCAACCATCTCTAACACTAATACTAAACCAAAGTCATAAAGAAATGAATAAATAATGACAAATATAAAATAATACAAAAAATCTGATAGAATTTTCTGAATGAAACAAAAGCTTAGAATTAAGCGATTATAGAAGAATCTATTAACTGTATAAAAAATTATAATTCATCATAATCCTACTTATGTTAGTCGCATACGTTATACTCCTATAATACTTGTTTCATATTTTAAACATTTATTTATCTAACTAATATATCAAAACAATTAAACTAAGGGATAGGATTAAATAACCGCATGTTTCATGAAACTTAACATACATACAAATTTTTTAAACAATCTATATGGAGCATATCACTTTATCTCTTTTTATCTAACAATGGAACTATGTTATATGATTATGCTTAGAACTGGTAGGTGTCGGCTTTTCATATATATATATATATATATATATATATATATATATATATATATATACCTGTAATAACTATAAATCTTCTTTCAGGAACATTCTAGTTATAAAGAATTCTTTGAAATCACTCCCCTATACAATAAAGGTATAATCATTCCTTTACAGATTGTTTTTAATTTTATTGTATATGTTACAAAGTTTTCTCTTTATTTTTTCTTTGAAAAAAAATTGTCGGTAGAAGTTGATGATTTTTTTTTAAAATTTTTCATACTATTGATTATTTCAAATAATTTTTTTTTTATTTTTCTTAATCTGAACGAAATTAAAATGTTTGAGCGATAATTCTCAATTGATAAACTCTTATTTATTTGAAAATATAACTTAATAAATATAGGTATCAAAAGGGGTATTGTAGAGATTGTAATAATTTCTATAGTTGAGATCATGAATCAATTGAAGTTAGAACAATATGAAAAACCTGGAAGCACTGGACGGCCATTTCGTCTTGATGTGAGACTCCTCAGCAGTGCGCAACCACGATCCCGTCTCGCGAGATTCCAACCCAGGATCTATCAGTGGATTAGTTGAAGTTAGACACTAACACTGTGGCATGCCGACCAGCTTAGTGGCCTAGGGGTTAAGTGCTCATGCGTGAAACAGATAGGTCCGGGTTCGAATCTCAAGGAATGAGGGGTCGTGGATGCGCACTGCTAAGGGGTTCTACTAGTAATACACTTACTACTACTCGGATATTATTGTAGGATCTTTCTTGATAATCTCATCTCATTATGCTAATGAGGTGTGTTAACTTGAACTGGTTTATGTGTGTACTAATTTATTCGTTGTATATCACTGATTGAACATGTAATATTAATCAAATGTTTAAAATTGATCAATGTTGTAAAAAAAATTGAAGTAGAGTATAGAAATTGATAAAAGTAGATTATGAGCATAAACCAATAAGAATCGAGGAAACGACTGTGTGGTTTTCCCTTGAAATTCAAAGATAATTGACTTTTATCATATATCAAATATAACCAGTAGTACCAAGAATTCTGTATAATGGTCAAAATGTTAAAAATGATAACCGAAAATTACTTCTTGCCATTAATACTTTCTGTGTAGATTGTATAAGACACTCAAATCAACCATATTCCCAAACTCTATCCATAAACTGCCAACTTTAAACTTATAACTCCGACCTGAAACCCTTTATTCAAAATCTCTAACTTTTAATCCCAAAACCTGAAAAAACAATCCACAATTACTAAACTAGAACCAAGATAATTATGGAGGTTCCTAAAACTGTATATATGTCATTATAAAGGATAGAGAAGATAGATAATTTATATGGATGAATTTATAAGTTGCTTCTTTCTTCGATTGATAGACATAATAATCTAAAAGAAGATTTCCATAGATTCATTATTTATACAAACATTTATTTACAGTATCAAAAATATTATTATTATTATCCGTATATTCATACTGACAACTATCATGTAATGACAAGTAATGTACTTTAGAAGAAAATTTCCAAATATCTAATGAGAAACTATCATTAATTTATAAGCAAAGATGAATAGTGGATAGCAGTGGAATTCAGTTTAACGCGCGTATCATCCAATTTGGGACTTGTCAGCTGGATGTACTTGCATCTCAGTATGGAGTTGTACACAAATGCCAATAAGAGACTGATCAATTGAAGTCCGAAACATCAATAGGAAGATTCAAGTAAAAAAAATACCAAGTAAATCATAATTAATTTAGTTTAACTATATCAATTGCGACAAAATCATCTCAATAGTTAAAATCATGAGTCCATTGAAGCTAGAAGCATTGGACGGCCGTTTCGTCCTACTATGGGACTCCTCATCAGTGAGCATTCACGGTCCCGCCCTCCTCTTCCGCGGAATATCTAAAATCTCCACAAAACCCCTTCTGATATAATCAGCTGTCTTAAACAATGAAATATGATTACGTAACATCAAACATATATATATATATATATATATATATATATATATATACTTATTATTTAATAAATAATTAAAATTTACCTGTTCAGAAATTATTGGATAATAATTTATTTGTGTACTATTTTCATTTAATTGATTTAATTTAAAATCATTTAAATTTTTAATAAAATTTTCAATTTTTATTTGTAATTTATGATTATATAATTGTTGTAATAAACGTCCAGCATTTAATTTATAATCATATGGTAAATTTGAATGAATTATTTCTATTAATTCATTTCTATTTATTGATTTATTTAATGAATTAAACTGTAATTGATCAATATTTAATGAATTCAATGAATTTTCATTAAATTTCATTAAGTTATTAAATGATAAATTATTATTAGTATCATCTAATGTTTCATTGATTTTATTAGAAAAATTTTTTTCTTGTTTTATTTTTTTATTTTTTTCATGAAATAATTTATTATTATATTTATATTGATCAATAAAAGTTTGATTAAAATTTATTAAATTATAATTATTTTTTAAATTTTTTTTAATTTTATTAAATTTTTTATATTTTTCTTGATTGAATTTATTATTTATTAAATTATTTAATAAATTTAATAAAATAATTTTATAATTATTTGGTACATAATGAATAAGATTATGTAATCTTAATTGAATGAATTGTGAAAATTTATTAATTGTTAATTGTATCATTAATAATTCATAATAATTATATTTTATATGTAAACCAAATAAATATCTTTCTGCATTTTTTCTATTCATATAATATAATATTGTATATGATGTATTTGATATTATAGTAAATAAGTAATTTGGATATTTTAATAAAAATTCTATATCACCAATACATAATGATCCTGAAAAAAAGAAAAAAAGATATTATCAATATATATATAATTTAAGAAATATAAAAACAGTTCTACTGTATGGGGCCGAAACCTGGAGAACTACGAAAGCCATCACCCAGAAGATACAGGTGTTTATTAACAGTTGTCAATGCAAAATACTTCGAATCCGTTGGCCAGACACTATCAGCAACAACCTACTGTGGGATTGAACAAGTCAGATCCCAGTGGAGGAAGAAATCAGGAAGAAGCGCTGGAAGTGGATAGGACACACATTGAGGAAAGCACCGAACCGAGTCACGAGACAAGCCCTCACATGGAATCCTCAAGGTCGAAGGAGGAGAGGAAGACCAAAGAACACAATACGCCGAGAAATGGAGACAGACATGAGAAAAATGAACAAGAATTGGATGGAACTAGAAAAGAAGGCGGAGGACAGAGTGGGTTGGAGGATGCTGGTCAGCGGCCTATTCTCCATTAGGAGTAACAGGAGTAAGTAAGTTTATGACTTTAGTCAGAGCGTAGGATGGATTCATATGTAGAAAGTATATATTGGAATATATATTTTTTCATATTAACCGTCACCTGCGTAAATCAATAGAACTGAGTGAAATCGACTGGGTTATTCATAGAATGCGTTCACATTTATAAGGCAATCAAAACCTTGTAATTTATCTCGTACTTCTAGAGTTAAATCACTATCTATGAATTCTAACTCATATCTGTTTAGAAAGAACTATCGTTTGTTTGTCTATGTCTAGATGTTTGTTTATACAACACTAGAGCTTAACTGGATGAAGCTCATTCAGTTTTTAAATGAACTCGTTTCTTTCAAACCTAAGAGATTATATCTTTCCTTATGAGTTTTTTATTACATCATAAAAATTTCCAATCAAAAATTCACGATTTATGCGAGAGCTTAGAAACATTTGTATTGCAGAGCTGTATGGTCTGAAATGATGATGAACTTACCGATATCCCTGGGTGGTATTTAGAAGATTTTTAGAAATAAATGAAATATTTAAGATGGTAAAGTGTAAAAATAAATAACTTGTTCGTTTGTCTAATGGTAGGTCTTCAGTCCTTACTTTGATTATCAGGCTGTGAGGGATTATGTATACTTATTTATTTATTTATTTGAACACATAAATATTGATACAAGGGGGCACCAAATATGTATGCGCCGCACAGATAATTACGCGCCACATGATTATGTATACAAACTACTAGAGAGCTTAAAAGAGCTTTTGCAAATTTGAGTCTAATCACAAAGTGTTTTTTGGCGACTTAATTTTATCAACCAATTGAGTATAGAAAATGAAGAATATTTGAGCGAATAATTATTTTCAGTAACTTCATTATCACGCTCTACAGTTATAAGTCCATAATCATTTTCACATTTTACAAAGGCCAAAAATAAGGCATGTATTAATGTAATGGTAATAATGGTGAACGTTTGTATTTGTTACAACATATATAATTCAAAATTGTGTTATTGCAAATTAGAAAGGTCATTCAATAAAGGTTAGAATGATTTAGAGTAAAGTGTCAAGTCACAACCAGTATAATAGTAATATAGCAAAAATGAAAATGCAAAACGTTGTGTGAATAAAATGCATAGTAGGAGAATATCATCTTGTCAATTGAGATAATAATAGTTATAGTAATAATGAGAAGCAGTAATCAGTGGAGTTGAACCGGGTTAGTTGTGAGATAGTAACTCACTGAAGACAATGGTGGATGTGTTGAAGCTAGACATTAACACCATTGGATACCGGCCAGCTCAGTAGTCTACAGGTTAAGCGTTCACGCGAGAGACTGATAGGTCCTGGGTTCGAATCCGGAGAGGTGGGGTTGTGGATGCGCACTGCTGATGAGTCCGATGCTAGGACGAAACGGCCGTTCAGTGCTCCTAGGTATCTCATGGTGGTCTACCTTCAGTTGACTCATGATCTCAACTATTGAGAATAATAATACTGTTGTATGAAAATAATATGTAATAATAGGGGTGTTCTCAAGGTAATTACGATAAAAAAGAATGCATGTGAATTGCGAATGGTGGGTGCGAAGATTAAGATAGATGTAATCAATACGACGGGAAGGGGGGTAAAAGGTTTATAACATTCAGTTTAGGTATCAGGGGACCCAGTCGCAGGCCAAGGTAAACATAGAGGCTGCATATACCTTCTCTGGATACATAAGTTTAGTTTTCTGGAGTTGATCCAGATGGCTTCGGCTATGTAGAGCAATCGTAATCTAGCTCCTTGAGGTAGATATTTTGGAACTTGATATAAATCAGAGAAAGCTTCCTCTATTTTCATATGATGTTGACTATCTAACAAGTGAGAAAGAATAGTGCTGTTGATTGATTTGGTAACTCCTTTCCCCATCCATGCTTGTACATGTTCATAAACACGCAAGGATAAGGCTCTCTGAGTAAGTCCTATGTAACTAACTCTGCAGGTGCAGTTGAATGGGCGGTTTTAAATTCTTAACGAAGAACTGCTAAACTCTGCACCTTAGGGTACCGAAGCTCACATGATATTTTTAATAACTTGTCAATAAATGCTAACTTATTATATCTGGTCGTCGCTGATTGTTGTGTCGTAAACGTTTATCATTTATACTCGGAACGAGGGACCTCTGCAACTCCTACGACGTGAAAGTGAGGACACAAAAACTGGCATAAGTGAAGATTTATTGACGCCGAAACACGACAACGACTACAAATTTAGTCGAAAGCACACTCATTTATATATTGATTGTACACACACTTTGATTAATAATTAAGATGAAGTCACATATACACAAAATACTCACAGTTATAACAAATCATATGCTGAGTATAGCTCATGTCAATGGAATACAAGAATATCGTATATTATACAGAAATAAATATCATACGAGAAAAGAAAAGAAATACTACACTGAATGATCACATTGAATCAGAACGGAAGTAATGTTGAACCAAAACTCATATTGAATAAATCAATCAAATTTCGACTTTTCTTTCCATCATATCAATATTTACATAACACACAATGACCCAACATTGTACATAGAATAACATGGTTTTCACAACTCAAACCAAGTACATTTAATGCACAGAAACCAACAGTTTAAATCTTATATTTTCATATTTCATCAAGGTTTTAAGGAATTTCTAGTAAGTGAGCGATTTGTAATCGAGTTCTTAGTTCCTGGCAGTCTAATGATTTTGAACCCAGAACGGTAGATAGAACGTGGGAAGTATGGAAGCGGTATGAATTCCAAGGTTAGTATATATTCATAAAATAAAAGTTAACGAGATTATAGACGCATCTGAAAGACGTACTAAGATCGATGAAATTCTTAGCTCTTATCCATTCTGAATAATGAAATTTTATGATTCATAGTTTTCCAGAATTGTCTAGAGATTCTTGTTTAGACAAACTATTTCCAGGAACATCCCGGCTTCAAAACATATTTTCGAGGAATTACCAAGACCTAAATGTTCATTAAGCCTGTTAATCTTGTTCCACTAGTAGCAAATAAGCTCGGTTTCTCTTCTACCTAGTTCGTAAATTCAATATTTCTGTTATATCCCGACGAGAATTATGAATGGTAACTTTTGAGAACTATTTATGAATCAATACGATGCAGATATTTTTTTGTATAAATATTAAGTAGCTAAACTTTGCATATTCATGATCCTCTCATTATAAGCTTTATTTTGTTCGATAGACTATTATTATACGATGTATCGTTGTTGAGTTATGCCCAGTCTATTAATTACAGTTTCCCACATTCACAGCCACATTTGGCTAAGTCTTATACAAATGTTATTTTCTATATTATGATACGATGTGGTCTGTTTGATTTGTGTATAAACACAATATGTTTGAAATACATGATTCATACCGCGGAGGCTGAGCCTCTAAACTGCTCGTGTACGCGTCAGTATCATTTAGGTTGCACACATTGAAAGGGGCGCAAGACCACAAATTATAACAGTTTTCTTCAGCAAATTCTAATGTATAAAAGTCTTATTTTATTTCGATACACTTATTTCATCTGTCTTATCATTGTTGATAATACTCTTCAAAGTCTTTAGAAGTAAGGTTTTTCAACTAGTTAGTCGTTCCACGTTCATGATAAGTAGGGTTAAACAGGTGATTTCAAATTTTCTTTAAGTTGGTTTAAAATTTCCTGACAATGGTTTTATTTCCATTGTAATATTACTTCAAGCCAGTATGTTTGTATCGAATAAGTGAGAATTTTTGTTCAATATGACAAGTGTGGACTATTACCTGACGTGACAGTTATATTCATCATCTTATTCTAGTTGAAATTTGTGTATTGTAGTTACTCTTTATATCATTTCACTTATATGATATTTACTAAGTAGTCATTAGATGTATATGTAAAATCAGTATATAATTGAGTGTATTCGGTTCGATAAAACATGAGTTTGGACGACTTGTTTTGAGGACGCGTTTTTTGGAGACTTAATAAATCTTTATTTTCATTGGTTTGTTTTTTTACTTTTCCTTCGTGAGAGTTGTATCGGTTCCCATTTCCAAGCAAAAACAATAATACGACAGATATAACAAAGCTGATATGTACATAACAGAGGCAACTCTAGAAGTAACAGTAGGAATGCCGATATAACAATGTGATTCACAAGGAAGTAAATACTATTTAAAATGATTAGAATTTCCGTTACGAAACAGTCAATAAGCTTTCTTTATCAATTTAAACGTTGGATTTATCGACATCCTATTATATTGTAATAACTCAAATCTTAAATTGCAGAAAGTAGGTCAGTAAATAATGCTACACACATAGGTTTTCTGCTTTTTAAAAGAAATATAAAAAGATTTTTTCACTTTATTTCAGACTAGTTACTATTTCATGTCACTTGTAGATTCTACATCCGATGTGAGTAAATTAAAATGACGTGAAATTCTGGACAAATAAATTGCATCCATCGATACTATCTTAAAGTCTAGTAGTTGTTTGATGCCTTTTAAAGAAATTAACAAAGTTACTATTTGAATATATATCAACTACATTTTACTTCTTTTAAATTTTCGTTACTAGCAATACATCTTTACATTCACTTGGTACTGTTTAGGACTGCAATTAATCAGTCTCATATTGGCATATGTACATACTATGCATATTGCCTTAATTCACAAGCTTTATAAGATGGATAGTGGCTAGCTGTAGCTAAGTGGATTACGCGATGGCATTTGAAGCGAATAGTACTGGGTTCGAGTCATAGAGTGAAAATAAACTTTGAGATGCAGGCAGATCTAGATGGGTCCTCAATAGGACGAAACGCGCGTCGTAGATTCTACTGCTAGCCACTATCCATGTTAATACATATTTACAGTTTGATAAATATTTGTATGTGCCTATGGTGAAATTTCACAGTTTCTGTTTGAAAAGGTTTTTTTCTAGAATTTTACTGTGATATTCACTGATCTCCTTGATAAAATCATTAGCTGTTTGTAAGGTATCTCAGTATAAACTAATTACTTATAAGTAATACAATAAGTTTGCCTAGAATATAAAGTCTAGACGACATAACTTTATATGTAAATAAAGTCGGTTTTCCTGGATACTTCAGTTTTCATATACAATTTACTGCCTACATGAATTTGGACAAATTTTTAATTAAATTGCAATAAATGATCCGGAAAATATCTTTGCATCGTGAACAGCACAATAGGCATTTGTCCCATTTGACAAGTAACCGAATCTGGTAAAAGTAGAATGAATTTTCCGAATCGATCACGAGATTTAACATAAAGTTAATCATGATACGAAAGGATTCAAAACATGAATGATTGTACGACACTAGTTTAACTAGGTAACTTATCAAATGAATAATCATTTATGACGTCTACACTTTACTTCAATTTCTACTGACATAGTTGTATACGACAATTGTATGACAGTATTGCTTTCCTTATCAGTCAATATTTACTAAATTCATTAGCCAGTTATGAATTTCCTTGACTGGTAAAAGATATACCTAGGCACTTATCTTACGTACGTACGAAGTTCTATGTTGTTGACGACTGACTGATTGACTGAATTTCTAGTAAGAATTGAGTTATTCAAAATTTAAACTATTGTTTGTTGAAGTAAAATGTTTTTACTTCAGCTTTTGATTGATGGAATTAGTTAATCTGAATAATTTTATTGAACGATTTATTCTACCATTAGACCAATCAGTATAAATCATTCATTTATTTTGTTTATCTTGATTTCAAGTTGATTAAATTTTATGAAAAGAACTGTGGCTTTATCGCTAAACACTAACAACTTCCAATTATAAGCTAAGTGTTTTCTTCTGATACTCTTGTAGCTTACTGAGATAAAAAAATATCTCATGAAGAAGCAGTCATAGTTGTTGTGGGTTTGTACATGACCAGCACAATCCATTCCTTTCACCGTAAGCTATTAGAGATCTATTGCTCTGCATTACGATATCTGTTTATTTCAGTGACTTTTACCGGTAATATGGTTTTTGTGAGTGGTTTGAACCCAGTTATGATGTATATCGATTTGTACTGTACCGTGCACAATCATAGTCGCGATCACATATCCAGTATATTAGATGATAATCATTTCTATTGAAAATAATAATAAATGCAGTAGAGATATATTTAATAAACAGTAGAATACTAATTTTCAGTTAGTAAATTAATTTTGCAATGTACAGAATTAGGACTAACCTGTTTTCTCAGGTGTAATTGGGTTGGATCCAGTTATCAATGGTAGATCATATTTTACAGATCTATAATTATTTCGATAAGTTGTTGATGTTCGATATTGCTTAACATGAAGTGTTACTCGCAATTCACCTCTTTGGATGAAAATATAAGAAATTTAAATAATTATTGATGAAGTAAAACTGAATAAAATGTGATTTTTTGCCGTATAAAGGTGACTTATAACGGCTAAAAAGTTGCTTCAAGGTCACCTTAAAGTTTAGGATAACTGTACATACAGACTCATATTAGAACTGATTTCGTGTACTGAGTCATAAACTTAAAGCATAAAACCTGATTACAATTGTAACCATGCATTCTACATTCTGATCATAATTAACCCCGAATCTTAAGCTCTACATTCTAATCTTAAATCCTGAATCCTAATCCTAGCACTGTAAATCGTTCATTACTACTTTTGTTCTGGTTGATTAGTAAAAGGTTATCTACTTGATTGACTCGCTTTTAAAATACCAGCGTTACTATGTATGAAACATTTGTTTTAACGAAGTATTCAAGTACCATTTTATTTATTATCGTACAATATCAGATATAATTAGAACACTAAGTCATTTGAAAAAAAACACATTGAAAATCAGGAACCCCTCAACAATTATTTCATCCTCATTTTTGAAGTGTTTCTAAAATTAGAAATCTGAAATGTGGCTTAATTTGATTGTTTTGAATGTGGGTAAAATAGTAAACTTTTAGAATATTAAGATGGTTTAAGAATCATTTCAATTCACTTCAGAATAGTTGTATAGAACTAACTCTAAAATGAAATACTTTTTTTCATAGATATCGATATTTATTTGTTATAAAGATCATTTCAATGAATTTCATTTGTTCATCATAGTTACAAAAATTTAAATACATAACAACAATTTGTTAGTCAAACTGTTTAGGAAAAATTAGATATCCATATCTACCTATACCTATATCCTGTAGTATATTATTAAGTTTTTCATTGAGATCATGAACCGATTGATGTTAGACCACCGTTGAAAACCTGGAAGCACTGGACGGCCATTTCGTTCTATTGTGGGGCTCCACGGCAGTGAGCATCCACGATCCCGCTCGCTGGATTCGAACACAGGGCCTTCAGTCTTGCGTGCGAACGCTTAACCTACTGGACCACTGAGCCGGCATCCAATGGTGTTAGTGTCTAACATTAACCAATTCACGAAATTGCGCGACAATCGTCCATTGTACTAAGGTAGATACCTTTCTCTACCCGACATGGATTAATTTGAATAAAGTCAAAAAAATGATTGAGGTTGAATATTATGAATTCATCTCATTTCATGGTTTCAAATCTGCTGCCCACTACTGTATTCGTATTGAATTGTGATAAGAAATGGTATAGAGTATTGGACATATATATATATATATATATATATATATATATATATATATATGAATCATCAAGTATGAAGATGAAATTCGAAAGCATATAAGAGTGAGAAATTTCTAAAAAAAAAACATAAAACTGAGATGTGCAATAGCTCTAAACAGTGCAGTAGCACGGCACTTAATTGACGTTTCTCAGTATTTAAAAATTATCAACAGACGACATAATCTAGCTCCCCTTCGGTTGATCGAAGCAATATTAACTAAAAAAGCTCAGGCCAGATTTATGTGCACAGAAACAGACAGTAATCAGTTTAGCATTACAAATTGATCAAAGTTGGAATACCATTGAATATCTGGAAGCACTGGATGGACATTTCATCTTAGTAAAAGACTCCTGAGCAATGAGCATCCATGATACAGCACGCGAAAATTGAACCCGTGGCCTTCTGTCTCTCACACGAACGCTTAGTCTCTAGACTACTGATACAAGCTCCGACAATGTTAATGTCTAACTTTATTCAGCCTACTATATTGTACGAGAACCTTCCATTGTATTCACTGGTTAACTGCCTCACAATCGCGATGATTCGGTATCTAGTGGTGTACAAGTTTAATTATGGTGGGTGTGAGGCAGTTAACCAGTGAATACGATGAAAGATGGTCGCATAATACGGTAGACTGAATGAAGTTAAACATTAACATCGTCGGACCCGGTATCAGTAGTCTAGAGACCAAGCGTTCGTGTGCGATACTGAAGATCCTGGATTCGGATTCCGTATGCAGGGTCGTGGATAAGCACTGTTGAAAAGGTCCCATACTGAGACGGAACAACCTTCCAGTGCTTTCATGTTTACAATGGTTTTCCAGCATTGATCGTTTCATGATTTCAATAGAAATCAACAATCTGCATAATCTTTTACTGAAAGTTTGTAATTATTTTGGTAAATTCCCAACTTTGATAAGGAATAACCTGCAATTATCATTGACGTCATTATAATATCAATAATAATTATTTTTACTATCACAATTGTCATATTATGGTGTTTATTTTGTTATCCAATCTTCTCTGAACCAATTATTATTCTATGTACTCAAAAGTCATTCTATTATCTATCTGTTTATCACCCAATGAATTCTCTAAACTTATGTAAACTCTACAAATCATCTACAATATTATTACATAATTCGTTATAACAATTTCCGGGCCGCATATAATTCTTGTATTGCACTCCTGTTTTTAAATTCTTTCTTACAACGACCTCACATCTGCATTATATATATATATATATATATATATATATATATCAGAAGGGGTTTTTGTGGATATTATAGTAATTTCAATAGTCGAAATCATAAGTCGATTGAAGTTAGAACATCATGGAAAACCTCGAATCACTGAACGGCCGTTTTGTCCTAGTGTGGGACTCATCAGCAGTGTGCATGAACGATACCGCCTCTCGAACTTCGAACCCAGTACCTATCAGTCTCACTTGCGAGCGCTTAACCACTAGACCACTGAGTTGGTCGGCATCCAACGGTGTTAATATCTAACGTTGTGGATTATTTGGATGCTGGCTCAGTTGTCTAAAGGTTAAGCGCTCGCGCGTAAGACTGACAGGTACCAGGTTTGAATCTTGCGAGACGGGATAGTAGATGCTCATTTCTGAGGAGTCCCCGATTAGGACAAAACGGCTGTCCTATGATTCGAGGTTTTCCATTATGGTCTAACTAATGATATATATATAAATTTACCTGTAAACAAAATATAAACCATTGAACGAACTTCCTTGTTTTAAAACCACTTGATTATATTCATATTTTTGTTTTTCTAAACTCATAGCAATTTGTTTTTGTATTTTATCAGATAAATGTTGAAAATAAATTATATTTTTAACAAATTTTATTCTTTCATGAAATTCATTTTCAATTGCTATCCGTACAGTATTATTATATAATGTTCTTGAAATATTTACTAAACAAACAGATTGTTTCTCTGATTGTTTTGTTAATGATGATGATGATTGTTGTTGTTGCTGATGATGATCATGATGATTGAATGATGATTCATGTTGATTGAATTCATTAGTATTTGGTAAGGCTAAAATACTTGCAGTTCTTAAACAATCTTCAATTAATGCAACTTCACCAAATACTGAACCAGCTTCTAGAATTATTGATTAGGAATAAAATAATAGAAAACATGAACTATACAGAGATCAAATACATAAAAGGATGCGTTAAAAAGCAAACATAATTTTCATTCTAAACAATTTATTTGAATATCGACAAATTAAATTGTGTGTTCACAACGATGACTGAAATTATGAAATCCAATTATAGTAGGAGGAAATTAAACAATACTTCAATGGGAATAGATAATGTTTAGTGATAAGTCTTGCTAATTGAACGCTATATTCGGTTCCTAAGTTATTCTCGTAACCCCCAAGCTAGAACTACACAGTGACTTGAACATGAGAGAAAATGAGCAAAATATCCGAGAAGCACTTTACTCCAAATGTTCATTTATGTAAAGAAAATATTGGGTTTTTATAGCGTTTTAGATGTCCATGGGTTTTCCGAAAATTCTGGAATGCTACTAAACATAGTATCAGTATAGTAATTAGCCAATCAGAAACTCGAAATGTGACATTTCATTTTCTTGATGTTTCTGGCTAAACTTCAAGTGAACGCTAGTTAGATAAAATGCTTCTTAGTGTTTCCTGAGCCTTTCTGGTCTTTTGTGAGAAGTTTTCTGGATCACCCCAACATTTAGATCATGAAATAGTTATCCGTTGATTCTCAGTTAACAAGGCAACCTATGACTTCACCTCATTCTATTTAGGATTTATCATCTGGATATGCCTTTATCACAGTGTTTCTTTTAACATTAAGGCTTTAATTACAAACTTTTCACTTTAAAGACCATCGATATTCATTGAGGATCCAGGATATTCCTGAGTTCCTAATATTGATGTTCAAATTTACGATTATTACAGATTAAATATTCATTCAGAAATCTTAACAATGGAATTATTCAGTTCCTTAATAATAATTCTATGGATCCATCCATATTAATTAACGCTGTCAAAACAGAATTTATTTGAGAAACATTCAATTGACATCTAAACAAAATAAACGTAAAGTAATTAGTAGGGTAGAAATTATGAAACATTTTACTGTACAAACTTTAAAAAGTTAAGAAGTAAATTCTTTGTTTTTGTTGGGATGATCCAGAAAAGTTCTCGCAAAAGACACGCAAGGATCAGGAAACCTTAATAAGCATTCCATCCAATCAGCGTTCACTTGGAGTTTAGCCAGAAACATCAAGGATGTGAAACGTCATATGTAGAGGTTCTGATTGGTTGATTATTATGCCGCTACTATGTTTAGTAGCATTCCAGAATCTTCGAGCAACCCAAGGACATTTAGAATATTATAAAAACCCTCTGTTTTCTATATTAAAATGAACCTTGGAGTAAAGTACTTTCCGCATACTTTGTGCCTTCTCTCTCTTGTTCAGGTCGCTGTATAGTTCTAGCTTGGGGGTTTCCGAATAGCTTAGGAGCCGAGTATAGTGTTCAAAATCGCAAGACTTATTAGTTTCTTCTTTCAAACTATACGATAACCATTCATTCTTTTTTAAATTTCAGTTTGATACATTAAATTATTTAAATCTCAATAAGATACTACTTTTCTGTGTCAACTAACGGTTGTTATTAGTTACAGTAGTATAGAAAGATTTACAGTGTAATGTCATCAGATTATATGTATCAAATTGATGTTCTCCAATAATCGATCTTATAGTAACAATCAAGGAAAAAAGTGGAACAGTTGATTTTTTGAAAGTTATGTCAACTACATTTTTTTTTCTAACATGGTAAACTATTCAAATCTAATTATACTAAGCTGTCAGTATTATCAAAAGAGTATGTTGTAATAAGATATTTTGAATACAATAGTATATATATATATATATATATATATATATATATATATATATATATATATATATATTACATATTAATATGATCTGTGTAATACTTTGTTAAGGAGTTTTCCTGTAATTTGATCTATATTCCGTTTTAACAACAAGAAACCATAGTAACTTGTTAAATTATTCATCATATATATGTATATGGCCAAATTAAAACACATTGAAAACTCTGTACTAAAATTCTTTAGATAAATCACGTGAAAGCTTTGTAATAATCCAGAATTAAGAATATTAGTAAACTAGTTCAAACAATTTGCAGCATTTTCTATTATATACTGTCATAAATTTTGTAAAGTGGAATTAATTTGTTTGTTTAAACAATGAATCAAAGAGGAATCAATTTTATGTGTAACTACTGTTAGAAATTATTGAAAAATATAATGAATTGATATTATAGAGATTATTAAGTTGTTTATTCAATAGTTCTCTATACCAACACAGATTGATCAAAATGTAAGGTAGTTGTTAGAGGTAGACAACAGAAAATCTTGCTCAACCTAGATCTCATGATATGTTACATTCATTAGGAAGGTGTATCTGAAATCTTGAAGGAATTAATACTCCCTAGTTCTTTTCTATCATGTATCATCCAGCTTCACCGTTGAGCTAATTGGTGTGCTACTGACCGATTAGAATTTTGATTTTATGCTCATTGCTTAGGAGTCCCATACTAAGACAAAACGGCCATCCAGTGCTTGCAGATTTTCCATGGTGGTCTAACTTCAACTGACTCATGATTTCAACCAGTGAAATTTTTAAAACTCTTCACAAAACCCCCTCTTATAATAATCATCTGCTCACTAGTGACTGTTTTCAAGAGGCATTTCCAGGAGTTCTAGTAAGAAGCCGTTACCAGTGGAGTTCAACCAGGTCTGTTGAGGGATATCAACTCACTGAAGACAATGGTGTACAGTGGCACAACTTCGTGGATTGGTTGAAGTTAGACATTAACACCACTGGATGCCGACTCAGTGGTCCAATGGTTAAGAGCTCGCGCGCAAGACTGATGGGTCTTGGGTTCGAATCTCGCTGTGAGCGGGATCGTAGATTCGCACTGTTGAGGAGTCCCATACTAGAACAAAACGGCCATCCAGTGCTTAGAGGTTTTCGATGGTGGTCTATCTTTAATTGACTCATGATTTCAATCATTGAAATTTCTAAAAATCTCCACAAAACCCCTTCTAATAATAATGAATTAGCATATTAATGAATGATTTGGAAAAGTAAGTAAGGCAAATCATTTTTAATCAATCAGAGATTAGTATTACTGAGTGAACATTCCATTAGTTAATTATCTTGTTTGATTTCAAGTCTATTTCATTATTTGATGTAACGGAAATAAACTAAAACACGACGAACATTCAAATGCTTTCTGTCTTTAAGCATTCAATCAGAATAGTGACTGTAGCCTCTTAGATTTAACCTAAGGTAAATGTGATAATACCTTGTTTGTTCAAATCTCACAGATTGGTCAATGAAGAGCTTTAAAGGAATGACATGAATTATAACTACAGAGATTGTAAAGAGTAGTCAGAGAAAGAATTTCATAAGTTTTATTGAAAAACCATGACCTACAAAGTTTAGTCTTATCGTAAGTCAGAAAAATATCGCTGGTGATGGATGATATCTCAAAATTAGTCTTAAACGGTCTTTACTTAAAAAAAATTAGTTGTAAGGTGACATTTTCTCTATCCCTAATGTCTACTAAGCATATGATCACCTAACAACATACGATTAACAGGAAATTTGATATAGAATCTAAGTGTCACCGCGCTATGCCAACGACCTTGAGTGACCCTCAGAGTGACTTTAAGGTGTAATAGTTATACTGGAGTTTAGGTGATATGAATGAAAAATTAATTACGAAAAACGAGTTCTATTTATTTTGTGTCGTTTTTTATATGAAAAATTAGGCACTTTCTCTGAGTCGCCATGTTAGTATTATTTAGTCCTGCAGAATTTACCAATTTGAGCGCTATTGTAACTAAATATCGGTAGATTTTACTCTGTTCCTAACTAGGCACAAGTTATCCGCCATGGTGCGTTGAATCTCTCTTTAACCTGATTTTATCACTGGTCCGATAAAGTTCCCCTACAGGCTACATGCTTAAATCATGAACTAGTAGTTTATACTGATTATATCTAATAGTTAGTTTTGTGTAACAGTAAAATGAATATTAAAAAGGCCGTTTGTTATTGTATGGTTAAGTGGATTGTAACTTTTGAGATAGTGGATAAAATTTGTAGCTCAAGTGAATGACTTTGATGGAGTTTTGTTTTCTGAGCTGGATGGTTTAGTCGTGGAGCTTTCATCGTAACTTCCATTGTAACTTTAGAATGTCTAAGATTTTGATTGTTATCGAAGAATGATTATTAGTCAATAATGTTAAGAGAATGTTTATTTTTAAGGTTTACATGGTATCTGAAATCGAACCAAAATGAATAAAAATTGAAATATATTTTTCGCATAGTCCCCTTATCACTAAAACATGAATAAGTATGGAAATATTTGATTTAACTTTTAGGCGTCAAGATTAAAGTAATATGCACTTAAACTTAACGTGGGTATATTGGTTTTAATCAAGTGTCATTACGAAATCATATTTGTAACCAGTCAGGATACTCAGTTTCTTTTGAAGACTCGAAATGAAGTTATTCAGCTTCGTATTTGAGACCATTTTGTTTAACCAGGAGTTACCTTAGAAATCACGGATAAGCACTGTGCTTCCTAAAGTATGTAAACTAATGTAATTAATTGTGAACTAATCAGTATAGATTCAGATATTTATAGATCATATAAATAACTTGTGACGTTTGGAGTTTTCCAGTCAGAAATTTTATTTCCTTATTTGAAAGAGTTGATAACTATCAACCATTGTAAATACTAGATCTATAGACTACAAAATTAATAATTTTTTAAACACACTGTGAGATTTTAATGAGGATTTGTAATCTATCGTTATCGATATGCGGGATGAAAATTGATCCGTTTCAGTTTACATATGTACATCCTAAAAGGTTTAGTTCAACATAGCTTTATGTGACATGTTTTATTGTAATTTGGTATTTGGCTAGAAATCTGACCAAGGATTCACATTTCGTTTTATGTGAGATTCATCGATTGAATGCACTAGCATCACGATGTTAATGTAAACACTAAGTGTCTAACATTTTGCTTCAAATACCTACAGCATTGTTCAATTGTGACACAATGTTACATCAGGATAATCTAATTAAAGACGAATATATATGCAAACAGAGACTATTTAATTACAGTCCTGAACATGAACAACGAGAAATTACATATCTTTAATGGTATTTTAACATCCATTGAAAAAGTTAGCGATTAACTGGATTCAGTAACTCAATGTATAACTCATTAGGTGTTTAAATTGAAAGTTAATGGGTTTAAGTCTCTACGTGAACATCACACTAGGAAATGGGCACATCTAGCTGCTGAATTTCAGATAGAACGAAACACACGTCCTAGGTTGAGTTACTAGGCATATACTCTAATTTTTCATTAATAGTGTTTAATTGACAATTGAAATACAAAAACGTCCTGTGGAGTCTAAATAATCACAATGTTTGTGAAAAATTAGTCATTATATTACCTAATATGGTAATTTAAATTGCAGCCTGGGAACAATTTTCAATTATTGGTTATTTAATCTTTATAAGATAATAAACTTCTGGAGCACTTAAACCCGGTTCTTATCTAATCACTCGGTTGTTGGATAATGATATCCAGACAATCTAGTCAACAAGTATACTTAAGAACAATCTGTTATGTGTTAAGAAATTCAGTATATATTCCTACCGTATACAATTTATTACTTAATTTTGTGATTCTAAAATACGCTTGTATAATTAATTAGACATTAATACCATCATGTACTAGGTCAGTGGTCTATAGGTTAGGGATTGATGTGACAGCTCAAAGTCCTGGGTTCGATTACCGAGTGCGGGGTCATGGATATATACAGCTAGGGTGACCCATAATAAGATGAAATAGATGTCCGTTGCTTTCAGGTTTCCAATCGTGTTGTAAGATTAGTTTGTGGTTTAAATTACAAAAATTCTACAATCTCCACAAATCCCCCTATATTCCGTAATTAATTGTCTTGGAGCAATTCCAATATTTCAAGATTTAACTTTTGAAAATGTCTCTTTTGACTACTGAATAAATACTGTCTTCTCAACAATAATTTTCTGTTCATTTTCGGCGGTACAAATTTGCATTTGATATAGATAATACTAGCAGTAGGAATACTAATGTTATCAATCACTACATAAAACCAGGTCTAAAAGTTTGATGTGTAACTTTTATTCGTTTAACCTCGGTTATTAAGTCATATGATTTTCCATCAGAAATAGGCATTTGAGTATAAAAAAACCAGTGAAATGAACATAAAATTGAGTATATATATACCTAGTTGACCAACTTGAGGTCCGAACTCTTGGTTGATGATGTCTGAAACATTTTGTTTGACGGGTATAAAACTGTTGGATTTAACATTCATCAATTCATGTATCTCTTCATTTATTACAGCATTTTGATCTCCACGATAATGAACCGATACACGACCAGAGAGTAATATATACATGCTAAACAGTATATGGGTAAAATCAAACCATCAGTGAATGTAGTTTTGCATATCAAATTGTTTAAAAATCACTGTTAACATTAGTTGTCATTATAAACAATTTTCTTAAGCCTTTATTGTTATAATTTCTTCACAAGGGGATCGAACATGTACAATGGTGCATTATGATGGAGTAAACTGATAAGACTTTCGAGGGGTTTTATTTATCATATATCCAATTCAACCTGAATAAAAAAAGTTTTCATAAACTAGGAAGAGATCAAAACGTAGTAGTAACTTCGCTGATTATGATACTGCATGATGAAGTTTGAAATCCCACAGGGAGCATTAATTTCCTCAAAATTATATGGACGCCTTGCTGATAAGTGTTAACTGTTATTACATCCAGGTTCAGGGTTTCTTACGATCTCTTTTCAAACACCTAACTTATGAACTTAGTGTACGTCACATCGAGTCACCTTGACTGGTGGAAGCATTAAAACCTAATTCAATCAGCACATAAGTACTAAGAAAACATCCATTCAGTGGTAAATTAATGTAAATATCTAAGACAATCACTGACCATGTGGATAAGTGACAAAACTGAAGACTGTAAAAATGGATGATTTTCGTTCGGTTCTCACTAAGAGCATCAATTTCGTTAAGCTTTCAGGTTCATTCGCTGATGAAGATTCCTGACTGCCATAAAATCTAAGTTCTGAATTTTCTACCAACTAACTCCAACCGCTTAGCGTCTAAACAAGATTTTCATTTTAATTTACATTTAAAAAGTAGTTAATCTACATTAGTTTAATTATGATTTGACACCTATACATCTTACAGAATCTATTTAGACTTGGCAGTCATAGAGCTTACAAATATTATGGATATGAACAACAGTTTAACTACAGGATTCAAATAAACATTAACGTTTCTCAGATTGCACAATCTGTATTGTATTCTCAGATATATTCAACGTAAATACATATTACAGGTATTACGGTTTTCAATGTTATGATACTTCTACTATTTCCTGAGATTAATGTTTTGTGAGTAAAATACTCTTTTGCATATTTATTGAGGCAGTCCGAGGGAGAAAAATTCCAGAACATCCTCCTTGATGGTTTGTAGATGTAAGTTTTATTGTATTTATCAGATTGGTACTCATTTTTCAACTGTTTGGTTTCATATCAAAACTTTATTCAGCAAATCGTTTTTGGGACGAACAACAAAATTGAAAGCTGACATGTATTTATTAAATCTTTTATATCCAAACTAGAGATGGTAATGCCATTTTCTGATCAAACTGTACTGTGGTTGATAAATATAATGGCATTACCAATCTTCATACTTTTATTTCTACATTACTGATTGCTTCATACAATTACTGAGAATGAAGTTGTTTGAGAATTATCATTGCTATTCACTCTAGATAACCTTTTTTATCTGGATAAACTTGATCCGATCTTCATCTTACTACATTAATGAATGTGAACAGAAGTTATTTTGGTCATTCATTAAAATTTGACTTATTGATGAGGAAAGTCATGGAGGCTACCTCATATAAATTAATGGAAAAAAAGAGCTTACCAGTCACCAATATCACCTTCTCGAATTATTATGTCATGGGGATATTTGAATTCTGCCTTACATTCAGCTACCAGTTTCATGAGTATCTCTTAAAATAAAAAATATGTAAACCATTAAATGCAGATGATCATAGGTCATTTAACAAATAAGCGATCGGAGGATATGTCAACTGTCTAATGTAATTAATGTATTATTATTAGGCTTCATTAATACCATTCCATATCACCCCCGGCGAGAAATGTTATGACATTAGCAAAACAGTGATACTTTTGACTTGATTTATATAATTTCTAAGTTTTATTGCAAATTATGCTTCTCTCCGTTCAGAGATAGTAAAACACTTCTTTATAATTGTTTGATTTCCGAGGGAGCTTGAATTCTCAATGTCACTTCTTCTCTATAATCTGAACTTTCCCACGGAAATATTGACATGACTTTATATCCTGTTACTTCAATAATTTCAAAGTAATTTACAGCACCGGTTGACCTCAACTGAAAACTTGATTTAAAACCAGAAAGAATCGGGTGATTGTTTCCTACCAATATGGAACTACTTAGTTGTGGATTCTCATAAACTTGAAGGGATTAAACTCAGTATCATTAGGTCAAATCTTGAGAGTATTACCTTTAGATCTCAAAGTTAGGATCCAGTAATTTACATTTCTAAACTTAATCAACTCACAAATCGCCTTCAAGCTCTATTTGTGAGCAACAGCTTCATTCTGATCATAAATAAACTTCATTGGTTATGGCTTCTCATTTAGAATTCTTAGAATGACTTCTGACTTAGTTATTATTAACTTATTAAATACTTAACCATATCATAAATCACATATCGTATTACTTCATTTTTATACTCCTATCCCTTGTACTTTGTTTCATTGTTGAACATTGATTTCATTAGCTGATTATTCATTCAGCTGACTGAAACAGAATTATTAAGAGCATTTTAAACGTTGATAATTCAATTTCTACTTAAGACAGTTAATTTTGTAGCGTGGATCTAACAAACATGAAGTTTCAAAGAATTTCATTTTCATATTTGATTTACGAAGTATAGCTTATCATAAACTTTGTAAAAGAACCAAATAAATTTGGAGATATCTTAATTAAAGATGGATTTTGGCTAGGAGTGAAATCTATAATGCGAGTTTCGTCCTATTTGGGACTTGTCACCTGGATGTACCTTCATTCTTGATCTTCACTCCACAACTCGAACCCAGTACCGTTCGCTTCAAACGCCCTCGCCTGATGCACTTGTCTATTAAGTACTGATAGCCACCTGCTTGTGCACTGTGGTGAAGTTTAAATTCACTTGGTGTTGTTTGCTTGTATCTTCCCATTGTTGTTTAGGACTGTAATTGATCAATCTTTTGTTGGCATATATGCATCTAGTGCGGATTGCCTCGATATTACCTTAAGTCACAATATCGAAGCAGCCGGCACAGAATGCATATATACCAACAAGAAACTGGTCAATTGCAGTTCTAAATAACAATGGGAAGATGCAAGCAAACAACACTAAGTGAAAGTTAAAGATAGTTTTCGTCAAAGATTAACATCATCTGAAGAATTAATAAAAGCTAGAAAATGCTATCATTTCATAGTTTAAGACTCATCAATAGTATGTACACAAGGCCAAAAGTTCACGTCTTTCAACCTCAGTAAATAACTGAACTAGGATCATTCAAATTAATCGATTAATGATAATCTTACACTTGAATTAGTTGAAATCTATCAATTATATTATATAGCTGAGCAGAAACTGAAATGGTTGGATGTAAGGTAAAGAAGACAAACAGAAGAAGGGTTATCATAAACTAAAAACAGGGAAAATTTTATATTTAAGTACATTAAGTTTAATATACTTCGATTACACTAATCAATAGTTGAAATTTAAACCAATCGAACTGGGCATTAGTAGATATGCATTAATCAATAACCAAGATAAAGATAATTTACAATATTCTAGGATGAATCTGCTATAACCAAAAACTGTAACTCATTCACTAAATTATATGATTATCTCATAATTACAGGTTACAATTTTTGACTGAAAGTTAAGCAAATCTTGTTTAAACTATTCATTATTATGCACATGAGAGATAGTTGATAGTTGCATTGAGTCTAGATTAATTGTATTGTGGTCTTCAGCAGTTTAGTGAGTCCAGGTTTTCGATGATTGTCTAACTTGAATCGATTCTTCATTTCAATAAAATTTAACAATCTTCACAACCCCTTACTGATAAATCTACATTTTAATAGTGGAATTCATGGGTCAATCTAAATTAGGCCACCATTTGTCAAAAGTTTTTAAATACAATCCAGTTGATTTCTTCACGGTCTGAACACAATTAAACTATTTGTGTCACTAAATAATTGATATTTTATTTATAAAATATTAATATCTATTTCCTGAAATATAAGATCATTAATAGTGATCAATGATTCAGCAGATGAGTACAGACAGAATCAGAATAATAAGCCAGAAATTAAAATAAGTAGTATTAAAGATTAATTCATTGATTCGATTCATCTATGTTAAATCATACCGTTACCGATGTAAAGGAGATGCAACCATATCACTATTGATCACATCATATATAATTAATCAGTTACAGATAAGAGTGTGAACCAGTTGTCAGTTTTTCGTAGGGATGAACTATTGTGTCGTCTTATGTAATAAATTCAAACAATAGTCCAATACATTTGATTTTTAGTGGTTATTAAAGTAAGATCAATTCTTAATGTATAAATACAAATTTCAATATAATCTTAAGTAATCGAAATAAATTTCAACTTATTATATACGATAATATCAAAATTATATAAGCCAACATACCTACAGAAACATCTTTAAATGCCAGAATATTTTCTTTAAACCATAATGCTATATGCCTTATTTCAATTGCTGTTCTCATATTATTTGGTTTAATTAAAACTTCAACCAAATCGTTAGAAAGTGGTTTTTGCATTTTTCGTATTAAATTGTTTAATGTAGTAAAACTGAACAATTTCAAGTGGATTATTTCCTTTGATATAGTTTAATTCTGATTGGTCGATTTTTTTATCCAATCATATCTCTTGTAAGTATTTTTTTAACTGGATTATAGACTAAATTGTCATTTATGATTTGGATTTAAATAAGTGAAATGATTTTGTTTTGTTCATAAAATGTCTTTGAGATTTTATGAATCATTCAAAAAAATGCGTAACTAACATCATACTTATCATTGGAGTTGTTTTCTGGCACTCAAAAAGGATAATTGTTACATAAAAGTAGGATATACTAACTATACTATTAGGGTCATTATATATGTAAATTATATTTGAAACAATCTCAGCGATTGAAATTTAAAACAATTCCAACCTTTTGTCCAGCCAACCCTGAAGAAGTCCAGACAAGTTGGCTGGACGAAACGTTGGAATTATTTTAAATTTCAATCGCTGAGATTGTTTCAAATATAATTTACATATATAATGACTTCTCTATACTCGGCGCCCAATATCTGTCAAACTATTCGTTCTAATCTTGACGAATATTCGTATAAACATACTATAAGGGATTCGACTCATTTTTTATAGTTAATGAATTAGAATTTCAGGTTTAAGAGGTAATCACTTTCAAAATGTTTTTTAGTAGTAACCTATAGAAAACTAAATACTGAAATTTTATGATGTATTAGATGTTTCTTATTAATGAGGTATTCAAATCAAGTCGGTTAGAAGTTTGCTTTGGATGAGCAAGGATTTAAAAACAAGTGACTCTTTGCTACTTTGATAGGTTGAAAAAGTAATTAATTAGCTCTTCCTAACATCTACAAGCGATTTTTAACATTTGCACCAAAATATCTCATTTAAGATACAGCATATTTTCGAATTCGATATGATATTAAATTTAGTGAAAATAATCAAATCGGCTGATGTATTGCATATGTTTCACATAAAAGTGTAGGTAGAACGTAGGTTAGGTATAATAGTACAAGTGAAGAACGCGTAAATAGTTAAATGACCAAGTAAGGCATGCCTTTTTTCTAATGACAACTATTTAATGCATAAGATTTTGTTCTGAACAGTAAATAATTCACTTTGAGATTCAATAAAAAATATCAGACTTTTCCTTTCACTTAGCGCAATATAATCTGATTTCAAAACTGTTGCTGCATAATTTTATGGTATGTATACTTAACTTTGACTGTCAATCTAAGTTAAAACACATTTTACAGCAAATTTGTTCTACTCAGTAGTGCGCATCCACGATCCCGCTCCTCGCGATATTCGAACCAAGGACCTATCAGATCGTGGATGAGCACTGCTGAGGAGTCCCATACTAGGACGAAACGGCCGTCCAGTGCTTCCAGATTTTCCATGGTGGTCTAGCTTCAATGGATTCATGATTTCAACCAGTGAAATTTCTAAAATCTCCACACAATCCCTTCTGATAAGATTTATTCTAAATTTGCTTGTCCCACCAATAACCGTTTTGTAATAAAATATTACTATTTACACTTTGTTAGTAGTCAAAATGCTACAACATAATTTCTGAACTTTTTCATCAAACAGTCTGAAAATAGGCTATGGAATAATTTAACAGTGCTTTGCTCATATTTGACTCAAGAGTTTAAAACGTTGGTTGATATTCCTAAATAGAATACTTCGTTCGGAAATAGTTGTAGCAGATGTCAGGAAAGTCTTTATCAAACAACGTTTAAGATAGTGATTATTAACAAGGTTCTTCATTTTTTTAAGGAGAATTCAAACTATTATCTAGAGGTAACAATGTCACTGAAGTTACTAAATTATGCTCCTAACAACAATATTGGGTTCGAAATATTTCATACCTTACAGGTTTTCGGTAGGACTATGATATATGTATGTTTTTAGTGATTTCATAACGTAAGGTTATCAGTTATTAATCTGTTTATTGAAAATTTGTAAACATTAAGTGTTTTTTCTCAAGTTTCTAGTGGCTATAAATACAGCCCAAAATATGTAAGTTGTGAACGGTCTTAAGTTCTTAACTAAGAACTGTTCAACTCACCACCTTAGGGTACCGAAACTCACATGATATTTACATACCACAGAAGGGCCCGACATTGTATATAAGGTAACACAACTTTTCACAATGGAAACCAAGTACCTTTAATGCACACGAAGCAACAGTTTAAATCTTATATTTTTCATATTTCATTAAGATTTTAAGGAATTTCTAGTAAGTGAGCGATTTGTAATCGAGTTCTTAGTTCCTGGCAGTCTAATGCTTTTGAACCCAGAACGGTAGATAGAACGTGGGAAGTATGGAAGCGGTATGAATTCGAAGGTTAGTATATATTCATAAAATAAAAGTTAACGAGATTATAGACGCATCTGAAAGACGTACTAAGATCGATGAGATTCTTAGCTCTTATCCATTTTCAATCATAAAATTTTATGATTCATAGTTTTCCAGAATTGTCTAGAGATTCTTGTTTAGACAAACTATTTCCAGGAACATCCCGGCTTCAAAACACATTTTCGAGGAATTACCAAGATCTAAATGTCCATTAAGCCTGTTAATCTTGTTCCACTAGTAGCAAATAAGCTCGGTTTCTCTTCTACCTAGTTCGTAAATTCAATATTTCTGTTATATCCCGACGAGAATTATGAATGGTAACTTTTGAGAACTATTTATGAATCAGTACGATGCAGATATTTTTTTGTATAAATATTAAGTAGCTAAACTTTTCATATTCATGATCCTCTCATTATAAGCTTTATTTTGTTCGATAGACCATTATTATACGATGTATCGTTGCTGAGTTATGCCCAGTCTATTAATTACAGTTTCCCACATTCACAGCCGCATTTGGCTAAGTCTTATACAAATGTTATTTTCTATATTATGATACGATGTGGTCTGTTTGATTTGTGTATAAACACAATATGTTTGAAATACATGATTCATATCGCGGAGATTGAGATTAGTGCTCTGGACTCAACAGGCAGGGTTAGGCAGGAAGAAGGACCGATAAAGACTCTAAAATGCTCGTACGGATCCATACGTCTTTTGTACGGTATCGCCACGTTATCTATTAATGGGGCACAACTTATAACAATTTCTCATAAGCATTATATCATCAGTTGAATAATTATCTCATATAATAATTATTAAAACTTTTCAGATATGTTTTATTTTAAAATCTAGCTAACATAACAAATGGGATTATCATCATCATTATTTTAATATTCTATAAAGGTTCTGTATCAGTTATTTTACCGTTTATCTAGTAGGTGAGTGTTACACATTAATGTAATTTACACTAGAAGTTTCGTTTCAAATAATCCAATTACTGTGTTATGTAAACACATCAATTTAGTATAGCCTAACATAGTGAATAGTAAACAAATATACAGTGAGAGTTATATATTTGAAATGAAATCATTAATAAAAATTACACCTATCCAATAAATGCTAAACATTAAACACTTATTGAAAACTATGAATAACCTTGACCAAGATAACTAACGAATAAGTGATCAAATTTATATCTGAAAATACACTTTTATTGTCGTTTACACGTACTAACTATTCACTTAGTGATATGACGATATATATTATATATAATGTTTCAATTTTACCCATCAAAATACATATATTATTATTAGTTGTGGTTGACGCGGTTGAAACGAATCGAATGTTTCCACTAAACTATTGATGAATTCATTTCAGAATTTCAATACATGATGTTGATGAACATTCACAGTCAGTTAACAAGGCAGGTGCGTAGAATGACGTATACTATTTCCATGAGAATAACTTGGCTTCCTCAGAATATCGATCTTGTCTAGAAATTAGCGCGTCGCGATTACACCATCTCAGAAAGTACGACCTCCATTAAATCCTCATCCTAAACTACAAATCTCTTTCGTTATACAAAAACCAGAAGAAACATTTAACATGAAGTCATGCATCACACAAGTTAACATTAAAATAACTAGTTTGAATTTATTCTTAACTACCATTATAATGATGAGTAATTCTCCATACCTTCCGATTTTGCTGTCCTCAAAGCCTGTCCCCCAATAGTATCGACAATTTCAAAAATGGTATACTCAATAATTGTTGTTATAAAGGATATGAAAGTCAACAATTTGTGCAGTGATTACTTTTTCAATAACATTGAGCTTTAGTAACCACGTTATCATTAACTTAAATCCAATCTCGAAACTGGTTAAACGAGATAATTTATTTCTCTGAATGTCATGTCTTAATGTATCTGTAGGAAAAAAGTGCGCCTAAATTATGTGATCACATATATCGACATCAAAACCAACCACTGTTATTTTTCGTATTTATAGCTGGACTCTAAAAATCTTTTTTTTTAACGGTAAGAAGAGAACCAGTCATTTTGATGTCACCCTGTTCAAACGTCCCTAATTTTAATTACAGACTGGCATAAAAAACAACTATCGACTCGTTTACCTTAATGTATAATATTGATTACAGCTATATGGGCATAAATTCTCTGTCTGATATTGAGCTGTTTCTTTAATGTGTGTTTTCTAGGGCCAATTATCACAGAGAGGCTTTTACACACTTATTTAAACTAAGTTTTTGCTTAAAGGTCGTCATAATTTATGAGGACATTAAGATGGTAGTAACTAAATAATTAAGTGTAACTCACTTATCCATTGCTTTCATATATTTAATTTTTATGGATATATTGTCAAATTTTATGTCTAAGGCCCAGTAATACTAAACGGGTCCCAAAACCATTGGAACTAAGGGAAGGCATTGATCTGCAACTTACTGGTTGAATTGCACTTCAACGTTAAGACTTATTCATTCCAATAACTAAGAAAAAATGTTAGTGCATTCAGCTTTGAGCTACAAATTTTGCATAAGAGTTAATGATGATAACATATTCTCTTTCCGTATCAAATCACATAGAGCGGTACACGAGCTCAATTTATTGGAGGAGTCTTGACATATCACACGACTTTATAGATCCCAGACAGTTTATGAACCGTCTCAAGACCTAACAGTAGATCAGAAATTACAGATTAGATAGGCTCTTGAAGGAAGATGATTATGCCCCAAGTCAATGTCTCTGCCTACATATCCTTGTCTCAATCTGAAAGATAAATGTTTACATAATTATAATCTGTGTACACTATAATTAAGTTTTGCAAATATACGTTCCCACTCATTTCATTTATTTAAACACATAAACATTGGTATAAGGATAGATATGCACCACATAAATCATTCGATTTGTGTGAGGGCTGTGATACTGTCCGGGTGCCCAGACCGAAGCAGGTGGTTTTCTTAGGGGGCCACACCCGGAGCCTTCGGCCTAAAGTCGGATTCGTAAGGCAGTGGAACAACGTCAGTAGATGCAGTCCCGTGGTAGCCGGTGACCAACGATTGGTTCATACGCCATTTATTCCCTCAAGGTACTGGAACCCATGTGCACCATTTTTTTGGAATTAGGGTTTTCCAACTCCCCTAGGTGGATTCTTCATGTCCACCAACCCGGTTAAAGCGCCGGATATTCGCTTTTCGTCCTCTCAATTTCGTAAACAACACCCCGTCGTCTCGAGAAGATAGTGAGTTGGACTTCCCTGACAGTAGTTGTATGCACATGACCATATAAGAATATTTCGAGAGGGAGAGCTAACTCTTCCCACTCTCGGTCGTACCAGGCCATTCGGGAACCATTTATGTAATGGATCTAGTCAATCATAGGAAGTGTAACTAAATCAAACCACAGTACAACACAAGAGAGTTTTTAATCGTTGCTTTCATCCTATCACATTGAATCAATTCATTTATCAGATGATGTTTAACAAATAAATTTTACTTTGTTTTCTTCTTAAAAAAGTAAACCTTGATTAATGCATATTTCACACATAAATAAAAATAAATCAATATTAGAAAACATAATGATTTAATCAATTATATTGTTAGATAAAAGGAGATATGAAGAAAAATACTGAAAAACAACAACACCACCAACAACAATAACAATAATAACACATTAAAATTAATATTAATGGTTAAGTATTTAGTGCACAAAATAGATTATTGAATTTTGATCAACTGAAAACTAGATTATTAAAATTTAGGCTTAAATAGAAACAATGGAAGACAATTTTTTTATATAATATAAATAATATTGTAAACAAAACTTAAGTATCTTTACTTAATAAATAGAAATAGGATGTTTCTAATAATAGATGTAAGTTACTTATATGAAAATGTTTTGTTTTTTTTTTGTAAATGAATATTATTATGGATAAGAAAAAAGTATTGGACATTTTTGAACAAAGTTAAAAACTGACTGAGAGAAAGGAACAAACAAACAAACAAACAAACAAATGAATAGGTATTATTATCAAGGTTTGGAATAAATTGAGCATTGAATAAATTGTTATAAATGAATCAATAATATATATGTAATATCGCAAATGAATCTAATACTTAAGAATCATTTGTTTTTATTCATCATTAATACCACATTTTAGATTTAATGGAATAGCACGTTCTATTTGTTTAGGTAAAGGAAGATTTAATTCATTCATAATTTTAATAAATTCATTTTTGGTTTTAGTTAATCTAAAATTAAAATGAATATAAATATAAAAAAAGAAAGTAGAATAAAATAGTTTTGAAAATTATTTGTTTTATATTTTGTCTAATTGAAATTAATTGCTCATTAGATTTTAACAGATTAAAAATTCTCCTAAAATATATTTGAGTATGTATTAATGTATTTGATAATATGTTCGTGAACATGTAAAGGATTGGTTGAGGAAAGGAGTTAATAAATCAATTAATAGCACCATTTTTTCTCATTTGGTAGATAGTGAACATAATATCAAAATAGTCAGTCAGTCAGCTACAACATAGGATCAGGTACATATATGCAAAGGTCCAAGTTGTCATACCGCATTAGCACAACAAGATGAACACCGGATTCATAGAAGTCAGTGGTGGTAATATATAGAAGAAAGATTGCATATAAGGATATAGTACAGGAAGAAAGAATTAGTTTGTAGAAAGAAAGATATGAAGCGATTTTAATCTCATAGTTTAAACTAAGACATAGAGTGTATACACCTACAAAATTGTGATCAATTCTGAGCCATGTCACCAAGAGTCTCCAACCATTGGTTACGATAGTCATGCGGACCCCAACCAAGTGGTTCGCATCTATCAACATGGCTCAGATCAGATGTTTATGTCTTCAAGCACTGATGCCACGTTTTGGTTTGGCCGCCCCTAACTTTCTTCCAACCATCCCTAACACCGGTTAGCATTGCGCGTCGTGGTAATCAGTGTTCAGGTATACGCAGCACGTGGCCCAACCATCTCAGTCGATGAAGATTCATAACCTCATCAACTGATTTACCATCATTCCCTAATACCCTGCGTCTAACCTCAATATTACTTACCAGGTGATCCCAGCAGATACACGCAATATTTCTAAGGCATCTGTGGTCAAATACTAGTAACTTACGAGTATCTTCTACTCTTAAAGGCCATGTTTCGCAGCCGTATAGTAGAACGAAACGAACTGCCGCGCAGTATACTCGTCCCTTAATTGATAGACGGATATCTCGCCTTCGCCATAGATGACGTAAGTTGGCAAAGGCCAAACGAGCTTTTCGAATCCGTGCTGAGATTTCGTCAGATATCAACCCATTAGGGTTGACCAGACTTCCAAGATAAGTGAAGTTGTCAACGCGTTCGATTACTTCACTTCCTATCCTTAGTTCAGGTGTTGACGCAGACCAGTCCTGAAGCAACAACTTGCATTTGGAGGGAGAGAAACGCATCCAAAACATTCTGGCATTGTTGCTCAGTGCTACCAAAGGACTCTGCATTTCATCAGCGTCTTCAACAAACAGGACTATGTCATCTGCGTATTCTAAGTCGATAAGTGGACCTCCTGGTAGGAGATCAATACCTTAGAATTCAGTCGATCTATGATGAAGTTAAACAAAAATGGAGAAAGTGGACAGCCTTGAGATTGCAAAAGCAGATGACAGTTCGCCATAAGCTCTGACTCGACTAGTAGTGTTCGAGTAAAGAGCCTTCACAAGGTTTATGTACTTCTGAGGTACGCCTTTCAATGGCAGACACTGCCACAGAACCTCTCGGTCAACAGAGTCAAACGCTGCTTTTAAGTCAAGGAAGACCACCATTGTCGGACGCCGATAAATATGCCTGTGTTCTAGAACCTGACGAATGGCGAATATGTGGTCGATGCAGCCACGACCAGGTCTGAAGCCAGCCTGATTTTCACGTGTTTGCAGTTCACGAGTCTTAGTTAGGCGTCCGAAAATTATCGAGGCTAGTATTTTAGATACTATATTAGTTAAACTAATCCCTCTGTGGTTGTCACAGGATGATTTTGACCCTTTCTTATATATTGGGACGATAAGTGATTGTGACCAGTTAGATGGGATAACGTCTAACTCCCAGATTTTAGCTAAAATATTAGTCAACCTAATCGCTAAAACTAGACCACCATCCTTAAAGACCTCTGGAGCCAATCCATCTGGACCAGCTGCCCTTCCTCGTTTCAGATTAGCTATAGCCTTTTGAACTTCAGCTAGAGTTGGGGGACCTACTTCAATGTTCCATTCATACTGTCTGGGAATAGAGGGTAGTTGTAGAGTAGCTGAAGGCCAGCTAAACTGCTCCTTAAAGTGTTCCGCCCATCGTTCTAAACGTCTGGACTGGGAGCAGATGAGGGTGTCATCTTTTTCCGAAATAGTCTGACTTACACTTGGCTTATTAATTCCAGTTTCTTTTATTAGTCTGTAGAGTTGTCTTGTGTTCCCTATAGCCGCCGCCTTTTCCATCTCTTTTGCTTTCGTTGCCCACCACTGCTCACGATCATTCCTTAGACTTTTGCTTAACCTAGATCTGATTTCTTTACACTCTTCATCGTGTTCAGAACCTGATGGGATGAGTTTACGAGAATCTATCAGTGCAATAGACCTTGAAGAAATCCATTGGTTCTTTGTAACCCTGTGGTTTAAATCACTAGTAGATGTCACTGCTGTTTCCACAGTTGCTTGTATGCCTTTCCAATCAACATCGGGGTCAGTCTCGTTTTCAGAACTACCTAAGTGTGACCTCAGTTGTTCCTGGAACCTACTTTTGGTTTTCTCATTACTCAATTCGGTTCTAATGAGTCTTTTTGTGTGGCTTTTTTGCGTCCAGTGAGGCGCAAGCAGATGCGTGCTCGTATTAGAGCATGGTCGGAGTCCAAGCAGGTACTCCAGAATGAGCGACAATCTTCTACCGACCCTCTCCTACGATGACTGATGGCAATATGGTCTATTTGACTCCATCGTTGGTTTGGTGCAGGAGGTCGCCATGTTACACGATGTCTCTCTTTATGCTTAAAGTTTGTGTTTGCTAAAAATAAACGATTGTCTGAGAAAAGTTGCAGCAGATGATCACCATTATCTGTTCACTGTGCCGGAATACTAAAATACCCACCTAAATGTCTTTCTGTTTCGTTTAAGCTACCTACCTGGGCATTAAAGTCACCTGCTACGAGTACTATATCTAAACGTTTAGCTTTCTGAAGAAATTCAGACAGCTTTCTGTAAAATTCATCTTTCACTTCATCCAAACTGCAGTCAGTGGGAGCGTAGGCAGAAACGACGAAAAGGCAACGACGTGTGTCCCTATCCTTTCGAGTTCTTACGGAACCGTTTAGCCGAACAGCGCATAGACGACTGTTAACGGGGATCCACTCTAATAGCGCTTGTTCCGCCCTAATGTTTAGTGCTATGCCTACACCTGCCAGTCCACGAGAACTAGCCATCGGGTCGCCAGATACACGGAGGGTGTATCTCGCCGGCACTCCGTTTTGCCGAGGTGAGGTCAAGTGAATGACTACGCTAGGATCCTGTATGCGTGTTTCGGAGACACAGCATACATCAATCGAACGAGATTCTAAGGTTCTAGCCAAGGAATCCTGCTGACCGATTTGGCATAGTGTGCGTACGTTGAAGGCTCCAATGTGTAGTTTGGAGCGAGGTTTCAGTAGACCTGGGACAGTGTTTTGCGCACTAGAATCGTTGGCTGTGGTGACAATTGAGGAGGAAGCCGAAAGAGGGAGTTTAGATTTGAAAATCAATGTAGGAAGAATAATGGGAATTGAAGAGGGAGGTTGATTATGAATACAGTGTTCTTGAGTGCTGTTAGAGGTATGAGGGCGGTTATCACTTCCCGGTTGCCCACACCGTGGAAGGGTTCTGTTGGAAGTGCCTGAAAAGGAAATTGGATTAGAGGTGGTCTTAGTGACCTGAGAGCGTGACCGCAGTGCCCAAGAGACAGCTGCTTGAGGTCGGTCACACACGACCTTTTTATGAGTAATTTTTGTGTTAGCTCCGTACTTGTTGAGACCTGAAGGCCGGAGACGGATATCCGTGGGATAAGGCGAGGTGTGCATTTTTAGGGTCGACCTTTTCTAACCCCACCCCTGCTTTTGGGAAGGCAGCATCGCTGTTATGCTGGTTGTCTGAAGGAAACACCTTACTGCTGTCACACCTCTGTACAGTCAGCAGTACGACTTCGCCTTCGGACCTTGGTTTTGTTGCTTTTAGTCTTACCGCTCTTCAACCGACCTGTCTGGCATGGTAGGACCTTGAGGAACGGTTGTTCCAGCCAGTATAGCTCAGTTGCTTCATCACGATAGGAAAGCTCGACCACCACGTCAAGGTAGCAACAACGGTCAGGAGAAACAGTCGTACACCTCTGAAAATTAAGAAAAGATTAGTTTGAAACATATCCTAGATATTTAGAATATGCTAATATCTACGGAACAATTAGCGTGCGTGTACGCTGAAAATTCAATATATGCAAGTTTCAGGTTTAGTATATATATATATATATATATATATATATATATCAAAACTTACCGAGGATTAAATGCCTTTTCCTCACCAACAGTAGTCATAGTGTTGCCTAAATAATCATGAGCAGGAAACAATGTATAATCACTTGGAAGACTAAAGATTTGTGAGTAGACTGAATCATATAATGTCTCAGCTGAGCCTCCTTGGAAATCTGTTCTTCCACAACCACGAATTAGAAGTGTGTCACCAGTGAAAGCAACACCAGCGGAATGCAATACTAGCGTCATACAACCTGATGTATGCCCTATGAAGTTAATATAAGGCATTGATAAGGTAATAACAATGAAGTGAACATATAAATTAAAAAAGCTACTTAATAAAAATTTTGTTCAATTCTATTACAATTACGAGTAATGCAATACATAATAGATTTTTAGAAAACGATAGACTGAGAAGTGAATTTTATATATTTGTCTCACTTATCCTTAGAAAGTTGAAAAATGATCAACTACACAGTGACATGCTTTTCAAATAAAATTAAAGGTGACTTTCTTGCAAGCCTACCTGGAGTACTTCGACATTCTAATTCGAAATTTCCAAACTTAATAACATCTCCATGCTTTATTATCTTGTCAACTTTAACTCCATCATAATGCGACAACACACTGAAAGATCCAGGAATTTGCTTTAACAATCCACTGCCAGTTACGTGATCAGCATGCAAATGAGTATTTATTATCGGACCCAATTTAAGATCCAACTGAGATATCTACGATATATCAATAGAAATAGATGAATAATTTGCTAAAGTAACAGTTACGATCATTCTACCATAAATAAACACTAAAAACTTAAGATAAAGCTGAATATTCACCATAGGTGAGCTGCTGTCTAGGTCGAAACGCATACATAAAGTAGGAATAAGAGAGGGTGAATAAATGACGTGGTAGAGTAATAATAATAATAATAATAATAATAATAACAATAATAATAATAATAATAGTACGAGTTATTTCAATGTTAATCCGATAGAAAGGAATATTTTCCATTAGCGAATTGTTCATCATAGTTTTAGTGGAGAGGTGGTCAGTATAAAGCGGAGAGGTGGTCAGTATATGACATGATGTCGTGGTATGAAAGAAAGCTGCAAAGGGCTAGCTTCTGTTGGTCCTTCACGACTCCCTGGTTGGGGTCCGAGAGACGGTGTAACGCAGTGGCTAGAGACGTTATCAGATATGGCTAAGAATAGAAGCCAGTGGCGATCGTGCTGTAACCTCTTACTTTCTTCATAGAAAGTGGTTATATCTTCCTTAATTGAAAGATCTCTTCTGATTGTACCTTTCCGTTTCCCCCACCATTGTTCTCTCTCCCCCCCTTTTTTTTTTATAATTCCCCACGTTCATTACTTTTTTTTTCTCTTTTCTCCTTCTCTTCAAATTATCATTGTTTTGTGTGGCGCATATATATTTGGTGCCCCCCTGTACCAATATTTATGTGTTCAAATAAAATAAAATAATAAATAAAAACTTAAGATGTTTGCTTAGTAGTGACATGGTAAGGCCGAGGGTAAAAAGAGTTAGCTCTCCCTCTCGAAATGCTCTTACGCGTATACGGCCAGTCAGGGAAGTCCTACTCACTGCATCCTCGAGACGAAGGTGTTGTTTACGAAATTTAGAGAACGAAAAGCGAATGTCCGGAGCTTTAGCCAGGTTGATAGATACGGAGGATCCACCTAAAGGAGTTGAAAAACCCTGATTTCAAAATCAATGGTGCACATGGGCTCCATTATCCTGAAGGAGCAAATGGTGTATGAGCCAATCATTGGTTACCGACTACCATGGGACTACATCTCCTGACGTTGCTTCACTGCCTTATGGATCAAACTTTTGGTCAAAGGTCCGGGTTTGGCCCCCTAAGAAAACCACCTGCTTTGGTCTGGGCACCCGGGCAGTATCACAACCCATACACATATCAAGTGACTTGTGTGGTGCATATGTATTCGGTGTCTCTTCTTACCGATATTTGTGTTCAAATGAATAAATAAATTTCCGGTAACTCTGTGGGAGAGATAAGGCATTATATAATAGGAATTTGTTTTACATTTTTTAAAGATTGGATAATTGACTGTAAATGTCTCGTCACCAAGCTTAATGAATTAAATAACACTAAGTTTATAAGAATATGAAAAAAATGTGCATGATTATTTATAGTAACTGTGTTTGTTTTTGTCTTGCTGATGAGGATTTTTGAAAAAATTGGGCAAATTATTGTTTCGTATAAGTCGTTTACGTCACCGAAGTGCTTGGATGATATAATGTGTCTTAGCCAGTGAGAATTATTTTCAAGCAATTTTTATGTATTTTAAGTTGGGTGCCGAATTCGGGTGATTGGAAGGATAATGCTTAGACCGATCAATTATAGCTAGATGGGAATGAGATTTGAAAATATCTGACAGCTGAGGACTTTTAAGTTCAAATAGATGAAACTATGGAGTTTTAGGCCATTGGTAATTAAGTATTTTACCGAGAAACAATGCTAAAACAAAGTCGTCATTTGCAAGTTTGAACTCAAATATATTTGTAATTAGTGATCGCAATCACCTGGACAGTAGAATGTCATGAAGTTAACCTTAAAAAGAGATAACTTTGGTTTGCTTTTAGTTAATGAGTATAAAGTATGTAAAATTTATCTGAAAAGCGAAGGTTACAACTATTTCGTCAATGATCTCAAACGATAACTGGAGTATTATCAGAAGGGGTTTTATGGAGATTGTAGTAATTTCAGTGGTCTAGTGGTTAAGTGCTCGCGCGCGAAACCAGTAGGTCCTGGGTTCGAATCTCGCGGGGGGCGAGGTCGTGGGTGCGCACTGCTGAGGAGTCCCACAATAGGACGAAACGGTTGTCCAGTGCTTCCAGGTTTTCCATGGTGGTCTAGCTTCAACTGACTCATGATCTTAATGATTGAGATAACTGGAGTACTGTAGAACCATTAGAAGGTCAACGTTTGCGTTAGGTGGGAAAGACCACGCAGACATTTGAGGTAGATAACTGGAATGAGCATGGTTGGATTATATTCCAGTTTCTGTTTAACTGAGAATTCCATATTGGTTGTAATGCTAATGGGTGATAAGATCAAAAAAGGGCACCAACCTATGAAATAACTAGATCGTTAAGTAAATCTTGTGTATCACCATGACCTCAGGCAGTGTTCGGGAGATGACAGTTCAGGTAAATCCACTCTATCTGACCACGACTAGTGAACATCTTATTGTTTTGTGCCCTTAACTGTTTATTTTCAGTCTTTTAATTGTTTTGAAAACATATTGTCGTTGTTTGTCTCTGGAGTTTTTAATGAAGCGCAAAGGTTTTGACAAAAAACATACACTTTCATATAACCATGTCCACTGTTTAATCATTCATTTTATACGTACTAGATGCTCATATTCACTAGCTGTAGTTTCTCTCTATATCGTGTTGTACAGGGTTTTATTGCAGTGTTGTGTGAAAGTACGATCATTGGAACCGGTACACCATTGTATACGCCTTATTTTCATATCATTCAACTAATAACAGATTATCTGAGAAAATGAGCACATTTATGGTTATGCCCATTGGCATTCTGTTTCCATACATATAGTGAATTGTATATTTTAAAAGTACAAGCAAAAAGTAATTCAGTGAACACAGTTTTATTTACTAGTTTAATCCACTTGAGTGGTTTTAGATTCAACATACCCCTAACCAAAAAGAGAATATGACTACATAACCACTTTTAGAAGTCAGGATTCCTGAAATTTGTTGTTAGGATTACCCGAAAATTTATTTATTATTTTACTTAAAAGTTAAGAATTACACCAACCTACAAGTTTTTTATCTCGTTCAACAGTTTCTAAAACAGGGTCGATAAGAACAGCATCTTTGGTGTGTGAGTCGGCCAGTAAGTAAGTGTATGTAGATGAAACCTTTTCAAATAATTGACGAAATATCAAAGGACCACCGGCAGAAAGTATAGGAACTTTGGATGACATCCTATAACATAATATAAATCTGTTTCATAAAACAGAGCGTTTACTAATCAAAATAATTTAAAATCAAAACAAAAATACCAGGCTTTAAGGAGTATTATGCAAGTCGGAAAAATATGTGGAAGATGTAACACATCAAAAATTTGTGAATGTGGTTGAAAAACAGTAAAAGTCGGGAATTACAAATAATTATAACTCCTACCGAAGGATGGTTAGGTTTATTCCTACCAACAAACGGAATATTATTTATTTGCTTGTTTATTTAGGCACATAAGCATTCGTAAAAGGTGTCAAATATATATATGCGCTACACTTCGTCATTCGGTCTGCGTGAAGGCTGGAATACTGTCTGGGTGTCCAAACCGAAGCAGGTGGGTGCGCGATGCCCCAAAAGCCACTCCCTCCCCAGTCAGATAAAAAATGATTTATGGTGTTGTACTAGCGTATTTGACTTAACTAAATAAGTTACAAAAGAGGTAAAGAATGATCTTTATTGTACATATGTTATTTACCACACGTATGATGCGGTAGTTTATAAATAGATATGTCATCAACCTCAGCACAAGTTCTGTACAGCTGAGTATATATAAAATGGTGGCATCTATTGAGTATTTTCTAAATAAATCATTTGAATAGATTGTCGGATGATTTCCCCTATCCAATTACCGAAGTAAGCTTGTCATTTATGCATGATTCAAGCATTAATAAAACAGGCTTAACTAAGGCTTATAATTGCCAACAATTCTCAATTCCCATGGTTTAAATCACGAAGTGATTTCAGTTAGGACACTATCGAAAACCAGGAAGTACTGAACAGCCGTTTCGTCATGGCGCGAGACTCCTCAGCAGTCTATATCAGAGAATTTAGAACCAAAGAAGTTTTATCTCAATTGCGAATGCTTAGCCTTTATATCAATGAGTCGGTGCGCGAAACCGGTCCTGGGTTAAACTGCCTTTGAAGGGTTGTAGATGTGCACTGCTGAGAAGTCTAACATCAAGATTAAACAATTTTCTCGTACTTTATAGCCTCAAAAGGTGATCTAGGTAGGATCAGTCCCTAATATAAAAACAGTAAAAATCCTATAATATCCGCTAAACCATATACTGATATTTTAACATTCCTCAGCTATTAGTTTATTTGAATCTTGTCATTAAATGTATTACAAGGCAGCTTTTGTCTCGAAGGTTGACTGTCATTCTAATGCCGTTGCATAGAAGCCTGTCGTGCCATCCTACTAACACTTATGGACAAACTGGAAGGTATTACTTAGGCCGACTTGAAATAACTGCCCAACGAATTTCCAACAAGACAGTCAAATCCGTAAATAGTTAACCAGTAAGAATGAAAGCTTACGCTGACACTTTAAGTAACTGAACTATAGTAATACTCCAAATTCCTAGATCGTTCACAGGTTGCACGTTCAAATGTATCTTAACAGGAAAAAATCATGCGCGAAAAAAGGTGACTTTGAGCGTTTTGCTGGAGATAGGACGGTGAGACTATAATTGATGGACAAACTTTGAGCGATGCCAAAGAGACCTTGAGAATTCCACCTAATTAATAGGGCTAAATAAATGTTATGAAGCAGCTTGAGCAATAAAGACAATGATTTACGGTCGAAGGTAAGGGTTAGGATTTAGATTTGTGGTTTTCATAATGAACTGACACTAGCTAAAGTGTCAAGACGCTATTGGGATAAGATATACTTGTCAAAATACAAACTAAATATCTTTAGATATTTGGTTTGTATGGCTGGTTATTTATTGATAAAAAACGATGGTCCTATTTATAAAAATGTATTACTATATAAATAACCATGCCTAAAACTTTTCTTCACTTCATCCACGACTGCAAGTTGCCTTAACTCTTGTCATAAAATATCAACCACTTATGTTATGCGTGTAGCGAAAATAGCATTAAAAAATAATTTTTGAGCTTTTAACACATATAGGATAACGAACCAGGACACGGAAGAAAAGCAATTGATTCTCAAGCTTGGTCGAACCAAATGGACTACTTTACAAAAATCCCAGTAAGCTATTATACATCAACGACCTTGAGCGAATTAGCAGCCAATCAGAAAGGTTTTCAGTAATAAAACAATTAACACTACAAAGTTATAAAATGACTGAGGACGACAGTCATTAATCCTCGCAAGTCCAACTGAATTTCCCGACTAGGAAAAAACGTTACGTTTTGAATAAATAGAGCTAGTGTTGTGAGTTAGGGTTGTAACCTTCAGTCTTCAGTCTTCAGTAATAAGGATAGTAGGTTAGTGAACCTGTGTTAATCCTAACAGGTTGGCTTCCAGTGAAGGTCCAGTTTCTCTTTGAAAATATTCACTGATGGGGCTGATACCACTTGATCGGGCAAAGCGTTCCAATCATTGACTACTCGATGAGAAAAACGGAACCCCACCTTGAGTTTATTAGATCGTGGTTTATGAACCTTCTTGCTATGACCTCGGAGATTATTAGTGCTGGAGGGAGCAAAAAGATAAGACATATTAACACCCAAATCATAATTAAAGATACGAAATGCCAGTATAAGGTCACCTCGAGTCCTACGATACGACAAGGGGAAAAGGTTTAAGCGTTTTAAACGCTCATCGTAAGGGAGTTTAGAAAGACCCTTCACTAATTTCGTTCCCACACGCTGGACACGCTCAAGTGAGGTAGTATCCTTTATCAGACATGGGCTAGCTGCTTGAATACAGTACTCTAAATGTGGTCTTACATAGGTGGGATATAAAATTCGAAACATTTCCTCGTCAAAGGATTTGAACGCTCGGCGAAGTGACCACAACGCACGAAAACCTTTGACAGCGGCTGCGTTGCAGTGCGCAGTTGTTTTTAAATCATGACTTATTATTACTCCTAAGTCTTTATGTTCTTGAACGCATGGAAGAGGTTTGCCATCAATAGTATAATGGTAATTATTGCCGTGACCGATGTGCATTAGCACACTCTTCCTAGAATTGATTTCTAAACCCCAATCTCGAGCCCATCTAACTAAATCGTCTAAGTCAGATTGAACATCTAGATGATCAGCCTCACCTCTTATTGCTCTCCATATTTTAACATCATCCGCAAACAATAATGTCGACGACCTAAGCAACAGCGGTAATTCATTTACGTAGAGAAGGAATAGCAGAGGGCCTAATATGGTGCTTTGGGGTACACCACTTTTGACCGGCTTCCAATCGGATAGCGTCCCATTGACCCTCACTCTCTGTCTGCGGTCACGTAAGAAGTTTCCTATCCACTCCTGTACAGTACCTATTATTCCGAAGCTTGTGAGCTTCTGCATAAGACCTGAGTGTGAAACCTTGTCAAATGCTTTACTAAAATCTATGAATATAACATCGACAGACAGACCTTTATCTAAGGCTGCTGTCCAATCCTCTCTCGCAATAAGTAAGTTAGTCAAGCATGAACGCTTATCACGAAATCCATGTTGCTCAGGAGCTAACAGATTGTGTGAATCTATGTGGCTTAGCAACCTAACCCGAATTATCTTTTCAAGTAACTTAACGACAATGCTAGTCAGACTGACAGGCCGGTAGTTAGATACGATCTGTCTCTGACCATCCTTAAATATAGGACTGACAATAGCATCTTTCCAATCCCTAGGTAGTTGAGCGAGTGAAAGGGACATGTTAAAGAGTGTCGCGAGCGGTTTAGAAATAATGTCTGCAAGAGATGACAGCAATCGTGGATGTAACCCGTCAGAACCCGGTATCTTACAAGGTTTGAGGTTAATTATCAACGGAAGGACAGTTTCTTCAGTCACCTGTATAGATTCAATGGCTGGTATCGCGGTGTAATTGGGACAAGTATTCGTTACAATAAACGTAGAGTAGACTTCGCTAAAGTAGTTTGAAAATGTCTCAGCTTTTGCTCGATCTGACTCAGCTAGTAAACCTGAATTATCGTGTAACAATAATGGGGGAATACTATCACTACGTTTTATTTGCCGTTTAACATACGAAAACAATCGTTTTGGACAAGTACGGCTATCGTATACCAACTGTCGTTCGTAAGTAATACGGGATTTAGCTATTGTTTTCTTACAAATATTCCGGAGTTTTTGGTACTCACGCTTAAAAGATGCATGACCTGTCAACAAGAATAAGTCCCAGAAGTGTTTCCTACGCTTTAACAGCTTACGGGTTTCCTTATTAATCCATGGAGGGCAGTGCGATAGCTTACGTGCTGACCATGGGATAAACGGCGACGTTACGGACTCGAATGTAGCCTTAAACTTAATCCATTCGTCTTCGATCGATCCATCTGCGTCAACCGACCAATCAGTAGAGATCGCACAGTCTCTGATTGCCGGAATATTAGCCCGCCAGATATTGGGACGGGGTGGAGCAGATACAAATCGTATACCATGTGTCCTAAACTTAAAGTGAAGTACAACGTGATCACTGTTCACTAGTGGAGGAAGGTGCTGAATATCAAAGACGTCTTCACAGTGGTGGGTGAGGGCGAGGTCCAGCAGTGACGGATCACGTTTCAGATCAATATGTGTCGGTTCAGTGATACATTGGACAAGTGCACACTGAATAACTGTTGATAAAAGTTCGCTATCAAAACCTCCAGCTGGAGCTGTAAGCTCTATCCAGTTTATGTTCGGAGCGTTGAAGTCCCCAATGATGAGGCAACATTCTGCCATACTCCAAGAACAGATGTGTCTTAAGATAAAGTCGTCAGCAAGACAACACGGACTACGGTATATTCCGCCTATAGTCACTAACCCATTTCTAGATTTAATCTTACAACATGCTACCTCACATGTACCACTAACATGAGCCTCCGATATGATTGATTGTATACGAAAGTGGTCCCTAATGTATAACATTATGCCTCCCCCCTTGCGGCTTAAAACTCTATCACTTCTAATACAGATATAGCCTGCAATGATGGGAGAACATTCTATATCTACGGTGAACCAAGTTTCTGTAATGAACCTCATAATTTTCATCAACTGACATTTCACAGTGCAAAAAGATCAAGGTAAGGTATGAAGATTTAAACTTGAGTTTTGAGTTGGATCTAGAAATCGTGGTTATGGTTTTAAATGAGAACTGACATCAGCTATAGTGCACTGCATTCCGATCTTGCTGTATATAAACATACGTAACTTACTTTATACCAATATTCGTCAAGATTAGAACAAATAGTTTGACAGATAATGGGCGCCGAGTATAGAGAAGTCATTACATACGTAAATTATATTTGAAACAATCTCAGCGATTGAAATTTAAAATAATTCCAATGATTTTGATTATTACCCTGAAGAAGTCCAGACAAGTTGGATGGACGAAACGTTGGAATTGTTTTAAATTTCAATCGCTGAGATTGTTTCAAATATAATTTACATATATGATGAATACGTAACTTACGTCTGAGATCTAACTTGTGAGTAAGATCAAGGAAAGATTACGTAGCCTCAGTGAATGCTCTTGTATGAGTTATGAATGACATCGAGTTCATTAGGTGCTGCCTTTGGAGCAGGAATCATATTATTCTTAATTCAAGCTCTATCGAAAACTTACTTATTTGGTTGCATAAAAAAATATTTTGACGAGACTATAATTTATGGACGAATCAATCAGATATAAGATAACAGGTCATGGATTTTGGCGTAAACTTTATTCATCCGTTTGGTGTTTTCATTGTTCCGTGTGATGTCGGTTAGTGGTGAAAATCCTAAGTCTAATTCCTAACCTCAACCATCGACTGTAAACCATAGTCCTAATTCCTTGAACTTATTTGTAGCTCTTATTTAAGCACATTGACATTCTGAAAGTTTACTAAACGTCACACAAAAGTCGTCAATAAAATATATTCTCATTGATAGTTTTATTGATTTCAAACATTTTAAGGATCATATATTGCCGACTTTCACTTAATCATTACATACATGTTAACTGTTACTTAATTCAAAACTTCGTCAAAACATTGTAGGAGCTATCTTGATGGCGGTTGACTAAATCAAAGTCGTAAGTACATTATGCATAAACTAGAAGCCATATATCAAAGATTTAGTGACAAATGAAATATGTTCAATATTACCGTGATATCTTCGATGAACACATTGATTTCAGTGTGCTCGCTTATTGGTGTTTCGGTACGTTCAGTAAAGTCTGAAAGGTGATAATTCAGCTGATCCATTGCATTTATTCTGGTCCATTCGTTAGCGATTTGTGGATTTTTATATCGTGTAGTTTAAGTTAGTGTTTTTGTCTCAGGGCAATATGATTTCCGAAACCAGAAGCTGTTACATTTGTCAGGCAGCAGGTTGTAGGGTTGCAATGTGAGAATAATAAAGTGAAAATTTAAGTGCCAAGAGACAACGACTGTTCCAAGAACAAATGATTAAGTTAGATGATTGGCAATACAAACTGTGGAAATGTCGAAATATAGGTATAAACGCGGAAACAAAGATGATAATAAGTGTTTAAGTATGTATTTGTTATGTTACTACTTCAAGCGCTGCACTTGTTTTGCTTGCGTTTCCGATGTATTTTATGGATGACCTTCAGGTGTGAACTTTTAATTTTCGGTTAGTAGATGTGAATCAACCGCTTTTTGCATTCTCGTGTTTTTATGTTATAGGATGGTTCTATGTTACCGATGCATTCTATCACAGTTAGTACCGTCATCTACAAAAACTCTCCTTCAGTTTCTGTTTTTAAAGGGTAGGAGAATGAACGGCCTCTGTTAGTCGGCTATGGTGGTCTCTCAGTTGAGCGGATTCGGTTTTAAACTCGTCGAGAAGAATTTCATTCGTTGATGATGCGATGGGCAATCCGATAGTCATTTGACAAATGATTCGCTCTAGGTCTGCGAACTTATTTGAAACGTCAACAGAAGAAAAATGGGTATACCAGATGTACATATTTTATAATTTATTCTAAAACTGAAATCAAGTAATCTCAAGTTTTACGAGACTCAACGAACATTCTTAGTTTGGCTGGTTTATCGACATGCTTCTGCTTTGCGATCCCAAGATTCAACCGAGTTATGATTAATGAGGTCTTTCCAACAGCTCAATGT